GCTGTACATTTGTCCTGTGAAGTTGTATTCTTGACATAGAAGATAAATACTAGTTGAGATTTGAGATATTTACAAATCCACAAAATAGGCAAATTTTTTCCTACAGTAAGTTACTGGTTTGGTTCATCCAGGAAGAGGTGATGCAGGCTTGAATGAAGAAAGTTCTTCCAAAAGTTTATTCAGGCAAAGGAGTGGGGAAAGATCTTTCAGAAAAATCAGTGCTGTGAAAAAGTAACTTATACTGGCATTATATATAAAAAAAAAGTTATTCGAATTTTCCATTTTAATTGGACACATTGAAGGTGATTCACTGTAACTGGAACTCCCTAAAAATCATGAGTGAAAGAAATCTTTGATGTCTAAACAATTCTATTGGAAAGCGAGAGGATTCCAAATCCTTAAGAAATTAAAATGAAATCTGAGCCAAAATGTTGTACCTTTGCTAAGAATGGTGTAAGTTCGGAGCTGTTGTCCCAAACTCTTCCCAGGTGATCTCACTTAGTTAATTCAGGGAATTGCTGGAACCAAGATCCAGGCAGCTTTTAAAATTTTTATGTTTAATAAATACAGCGAGTACCCGGAGTTGGCTCTGGCAGCGTCAGGCCTTGTGGCCACAGACCTGTGAAGTACTTATGGAAAATTAATTTGACTTGCTTTGGTGGTGCTTCTCTTGCCATGGCTGAAATCTCAAGACACTGCGTGTTTATTACCCATTGAAATGTGTCCTTTTTGAGTAAAGAAAATTATTTCTGCTGCTGAATCTAGTTGACTGAAAGAAAGTAAATTTTATCTAAATCTGTGGCTTTTATTCCTGATTTTAGTTTTTTCACAGTGGAGCCCCTTTAACTGCTTCCATTTATTTTATTTATTTATGCATTCATGAGCTGGGGTATAGGCCAGTGGTGAGTGGTAGGTTTGAGAGGCTTCACTAGAGACAGAGTGGGCAACAGAACGGGTGGATCTACTGAAATATACTGCTAAGGGGAGCAGCAGGCAAGACAGGAGGGGGTCCGCTGGGCCATGTGGGTAGCTCCCTGGCTGGATGGAACTCGTGCTGCAGTGGCTGCCTATAGCTTCATAGTTCTGAGATTTAACCCCTTGGGCCACCAGGTAGGCGCCTCCTGTTTAACTGCTTCTAAAGCACATTTCATTTAACTCATTTTAAAGCATGGATACTCATTTATAGAGAAACAGCAGTTGTAGCTGTTTCCCTGTTGCTCTCACTTTTTCTTCAAAATGGCGGTAGCTTTTAAATTATAAACGAATTACATGTGTGTTCATAAAATGCTTTTTCAAATAGTAAAAATGTATAAAAAAAAGTAATACTTGACTCCATACTACTAACCAGAATTAACGTTTATTAAAAATTTGTTGTTTATCTTGCCAAGCTTTTAATGCATGAATAAATTTATGTGTAGCTATAATTTTTAGGGGAAATAGAATCATAGTAATCATATTCCCTTAAAATGGAAACATTTTTCCATGACAGTACATGCTTACATAGTGTTAAGAGACTGTATAATATTCTATCACATGCATGTACCAAAAGATGTTGAAGCATTTAAATTGTTTTCAGGATTAATTTATCCACAATTCTGCAAGCCTAGGACATGTCTGATTGTTCTTATCTGCTTAATTTATGAGGCTGAATTTCCCACAGAGGAATGCTTGTCAGAGGAGATACCCATTATTAATAGTGATGTTGCAGAAACCAGGATCAACGTGCCACTTAGGCAACGCTGAGCAGTTGAAAGGATATTTATTGTGGTGGAAGGAGGCTTTAAAATGTGTATTATTGTTTTTAAAGCAGTTATTTTATAACATACAATCCCATTCTCCTTTCTAATTACATTCTCACACTGCCTTCCAGATAGGCTCCCTCTATAAGAGTGTATTATTAGCCCCTTGAGCACAGAGACAGTGTCATTTGCAATGAAGATCCATAATGCTTAATGTTAGCACTTGACATATAGTAGGTGCCAGGTAAATTTTTTTTAAAGATTTATTTTTATTTATTTATGCATACAAGAACTGGGGTATAGGGATCTCCCTGGTTGCACAGGGGTTAAAGACAACGCTATCAAGCTATCATCAGCCACTGTAGCCGGAGTTCGAGTCCCCAGCTGGCCAGGGAGGTGACCCACATGGCACAGCAGATCTCTCCTGTCTTGCCCGCTGCTCCCCTCAGCAGTGCATTTCAGTGGATCTTTCAGTTCTCCCCACTCTTGTCTCTGGTGAATTCCTCTCTCACACACACACCCCCCCCCACCTCTGTCCTACATCCCAGCTCTTGTATGCATAAATAAATAAATCTTGGGCCTCCCTGGTGGCGCAGGCGGTTGAGCGCGACACTGTGAAACTATCTGCAGCCTCTGCAGCGCGAGTTCCATCCCAGCTGGCCAGCGAGAATCCCACATGGTGAAGCAGACCTCTCCTGCCTTGCCCCGCTGCTCCCCTCAGCAGTGTGTTTCGTCAGTCTGCCTATTCTGTTCCCTGCTCTGTCTCCGGTGAATCCTCTGACCCTCCCGCACCTCTGGCCTGTACCCCGGTTCTTGTATAAAAATAAATTAAAAAAACTAAATAAAATAAAAAATAAATAAGTCTTTAAAAAAAGAACTGGGGTACAGGCCAGAGGTGCGGGGGTGGGGGTGAGAGGATTCACCAGAGACAGAGTGGGGAACAGAACAGGCGGATCTACTGAAATCCACTGCTGAGGGGAGCAGCAGTGTATAATTGTATAATTTATAATTAGCCTGTTATAGCAGGTGAGTCAAGAGAAGTCTGCTGCACCATGTGGGTCACCTCCCTGGCGGGGGATCGATCTCATGCTGCATTGCCTGCGGATAGCTTCATTGTAATGAGGCTTAACCCCTTGGGCCAACAGGGAGGCCCCTTGAAAGACAAAGTATTTAATCTGACTGGAGTGTTAGGCGGGGAGGGAGGACGAGGTGAATTCTCTAAATAGAGCTTTTGTGCCCATGTTGAGGAATCTGAGAGACATTTATGAGGTGTTGCGGAGTCTTGGAAGGCCCTAAGTAGGGAGTGTTCAAAACGGTTTTGCCAGTTGAAAGACTGGCTTATTACAGATGTGTAGACAGGCGAGGAAATCTATTGGAAGAGGGATATCCAATTAGAGAACGGCACTGATCCCTAGCTGCACGTTGGAACCATCTGGAGAAATGCTTATAGTGTAATGCCCAAGTTCAGCCAATAGATTATATCAACAGCTCTGTGGGTGGGGCCAGGCACTAATACTTTTTATTGCTTCCCAGGTCATTCCATTGTGCAACCACGTTTGTGAACAACTGAGTTAAAGGGTAACTAGTCAAACCAGATTTGATCAAGTTTCAAATTAACAAGTGCCAGCACCATAAGGGTGTGGGGTAAGACAGTAACAAGAAGGATATGGTGGTCCATTGAACGAAGGTTGATTATTTCTGGTTTGGGTTACAGAGTGGGTGATGGTCATATACCAAGGGTCAGTTGTATACCAAAATTGAGAACATGAAAGAGAAACAAGATGTGGATACTTGACCTTCCTAGGTGGGCATAAGAAAGATAAAGAATTTAATTGTGAAATATGAATGGGAGAGAAAATGATACAGGACAAATGGACAGAGAAAGAAACTGAAAGGATGAAATGGTGTAGTTGAAAACTGAAGAGACAGAGCAGATAATTGATGGGAAAGATAGCTGAGGAGACCTCGGGTGGTACAAAATAGACCTGAAAGAAATAATTTATATGAGGATTTCCACTCAGAGAAATAAGTAAAAACAGGAAAAGATGTCCACAGGTTGAAGAAGAGCTGTAATGTAGCTTGATGGCTTAATTTTTTACTGCAGGAGATATGCGTGTCTGCTGTGGATTAGGAGCTAAGAGAAGGGAACCCTTAAGGGATGTGGACAAGCTTTGGAAGAGCCAATGAAAGGGGCCATCTGAGGAAGGGGGCTAAGCATGAGGTGGCTTCCTAGTCCTACCGTTAAGTGTCAGGTTTCCCCCAGTTTCAGTATTGAAACTGGGTGACCTTCTTTGTTATATCAGAGTCCTCTGTTATCTTCTGAGAGACACAGTGACAGTCTGAAGTTAAGTTTGTGGGGAGGAGTTAAGTAGTTAATATAATAGTTCAGAAAATTATTGGTTGGCTTTTTGCTTGAGGGATAGCTCTTTGCTATTTTATTTTATTAAAGATTTATTTATTTATGCATATACAAACTGGGGTACAGGCCAGAGGGTGGGGGGGTGAGAGGATTCATCAGAGTGGACAACAAAACAGGCGGATTGATTGATACACACTGCTGAGGAGAACAGCGGACAAGACAGGAGAGGTCTGCTGCGCCATGTGGGTAGCTCCCTGGCCGGCTGCTGATAGCTTCATAGTGCTGCATCTTAATCCCTTGCACCATCAGGGAGGCCCCAGCACTTTGTTATTTTAACTTGAATTTTGAAGTGTTGAAATCACTTGAAAACTGTTGGTCCCACAATTTCCAAAATCAGTAACACGCTTTCATCATTTTTTTTCTATTATAATAACATCTAAAAAGAAATACCAACTCAGCATTTTGGAAACTTGTTAACTTTTTTATGTATATTTTGTACTGTACTTTTAAAAAGTTCTGGTATTTATTTTCATGTCCTATTTCCTGTGTTTTTCTATGTCTCATGAAGATCTCGCTCAACTTTGGTATAAACTATGACTTGCATTATGTAGTCTCTAAATATTTTTTTCCTCAAAAAACCAACTAAAAGTTCGTAGTTAACTGTCAGGCTGAACTATTTATTTTATAGATTTCCTGTTTAGCAGAACTAATTGTATTCACTACAATAAAATTAATCATTAGTATCACTTTTCAGTAATGTTTCTTGTTTGACTTATTTCTTCAGATAATTATAAATCATGTAAGCAAAAAAAAAAAATTGGAGTTAGTACATGGATGCTTAGATGGTAGAAGGTGGATTTGATATTGCAGAACAGTAACCTAGTGCTTTTATCTCATTTCAGGTAACATTTCATTTGTTGCATTTCCAGTTTCCAGCACCAACTCACCGACAAAGATTTTACCAAAAACCTTAGGACCAATAAATGTGAATGTTGGACCCCAAATGGTAAGAAAGCTATCTAATCTTAGGATTTGAAACTTTACTTAGGCAAGACCAATTTTATTTTTAATTGCAGTAGCATTGCACTATAACATAGAAGTTTCAGGTGTAGGCAAGAATAATTTAAAGACTATTTGTACTCAAGATGTTTGCTCAAGGGCCTACCCGGTAGCACAGTGGTTGAGCGCTGGGTTGCGAAGCTGCCCGCAGCCTCTGCAGCGCCAGTTCGATCCCCGGCTGCCGGGTGAGGGTCCCACATGGCGTGCAGACCTCTCCTGCCGCCCGCTGCTCCCCTCAGCAGTGTACTTCGGTCCTTCTGCCTGCTCTGCTCCCCGCTCTGGCTCTGGTGAGTTCTCTCACCCTCCCGCGCTTCTGACTGTACCCAGTGCTTGTATAAATAAATAAATAAATCTTTAAAAAAAAAAAAAAAGATGTTTGCTCAAATATACCAGTTAATTTCTTATTGCAATTACTTTTTTAGAAGGTGTTGTTTTCCTCTAAATGTAACTGATTATGGCTTGAGAAAAAGAAAAGCCGTGCTCTTCAATACATTTTCATGTACTGAATTTGTGGATTCAGGATTTGTAATATTAAAAAGTTTTTGTGCTCTGTGAAGCTTTTCTTGGTTAATTAAGTTGATTTGAAATCTGTTGTTTCATTCTCCTCCTTTTTTCTTTTTCTTATAAAATATACTCTACTGCCCTAAATTATGTCCATATAAATTGAAACTGATCCAACAGCTAATCTGTATCTGGAACTATTTATTCCATGAAAGGACATTTGGGAAAAAGTGCTATGTCGGGCCTCCCCGGTGGCGCAGCGGTTGAGCGCTGGGTTGCGAAGCTGCCCGCGGCCTCTGCGGCGCCAGTTCGATCCCCGGCTGCTCCCCGGCCACCGGAGGAGGGTCCCGCATGGCGCGCAGACCTCTCCTGCCGCCCGCTGCTCCCCTCAGCAGTGTACTTCGGTCCTCTGCCTGCTCTGCTCCCCGCTCTGGTGAATTCTCTCACCCTCCTGCGCTTCTGACTGTACCCAGTGCATGTATAAACAAAACAAACAAACAAATAAATAAATAAATAAATAAAACATGCCTTAAAAAAAAAAAAGTGCTATGTCGTTTCATAGGGCTTCCCTGGTGCCACAGGGGTTAAAGTCTCAGCACTATCAAGCTGTATCTCCAACCACTGCAGCATGAGTTTGATCCCTGGCCAAGGAGGTGATCCACATGGTGCAGCAGACTTCTCCTGCCTCACCTGCTGCTCGCCTCAGCAGTGTATTTCTGTGGATACACCTGTTCTGCTCTCCACTCTATCTCTTGTGAATCCTCTCACACACCTCTGGCCTACACCCCAGCTCTTGTATGCATAAATAAAAATAAATCTTTTTAAAAAGTAAATAAATGAAATGGAAAATAAGTATTTCTCTAAAGGGATTCATTAATTATACTAGGGTTTGAGTGTACAGTACTTTTCTAGAAGCTTATTTTTAAACAAAGTTGCATGTAGCTACTCTAAAACTATAAGTGATTTAAATGGCATCACCCACCATTAGCAAAAATACACAAACACTTACACAGTGATTCTTCATCATCAGTGCTTATGTCTTCTTATCTATAGAGGAATAAGGACAAATTTTGTCCATAATGTACATTGCTATGGACTATGTATTGTTAAATGAAAAACATATTTAGACAGAAATACCTTTTAACATAATGGTTTCAGAAAGTCTTTAAGATTTTAAGACATTCTAGATGACATTTTTCTTGATCATTTGAAGACTGTTAACCATCTGCAGAATTCATGCTAAAGATCTTACACAATTATTTAAGTATGTGAAGAATGTAATCTGACTGCAAACCTCATAGAGATGCTCAGGTAAGTGTTCCCATTTCAAGGTAGTTCAGGGTATATATCCAAACATTTGCTAAGCAAAGCATCTCCCTTCACCAACCACTACAGTAGCTACAAATGAGATAAGGCACCTAACTTCAAAGTCTGTATTATGAAGTGTGATTATGTAAACATCAAAATTAAACAAATATACCAAACTTTTGTGAGTTTGACCCTTGATAGTACTCCTCTTTCTTGAGAGACCATTTCCTATTGCTTTTTTTTAGTAATGCTTCTGTGGCTCCAATTGAATTTCTCATAGGGACACATAATTTTTCTCCCGATTGTCAGCTTGACCTAAAGTATGCGTCGTAAACCTTGATACCCTTCGGTTCTCACAATGATAAGGAGTTATGTGTGCTATCAATAGTCACCCAGTACAATGCAAAGCTCAGAATCAGTGAGACAAAGGTCAGAGAAGGACAGGTGATTTGGGACTCTCCTAACCAGGCCAGCCCAAACTAAATTTGTCTCCCTTATTCTGAGGTGCTTTTTTGCAATTTTGAGTTCTTGGGCAGGAGTCAGTTTTTTAATTAAAGCCATTTCTCCTCTTGCTTGTCTTTTTTGAGTATTGTCCCCTCACCTTCCATGGATTTTAAATATTTTTGCCTAATTAGAAAATTCTTGCTTATTTAGTCCTCTTTCTCTACTTACCCTTTTAACATAAAATTTCTCTTTGGAAGTCAGATCTTAATTTTTTTTTTAAAGATTTATTTAGTTTTATACAAGAACCGGGGTACAGGCCAGATGCATGTGAGAGTGAGAGAATTCACCAGAGACAGAGCAGGCAGACTGATGAAATACACTGCTGAAGGGAGCAGTAGGCAAGGCAGGAGAGATCTGCTGCTCCATGTGGCATTCTCCTGGCCGGCCAGGATCGAACCCGCGCTATAGAGGCTGTGGACAGCTTCACAGTGTGGCGCTCAAGTGCCTGCACCACCAGGGAGGCCCTTAATTTTTTTTTAAAGATTTATTTATTTATGCACACAAGAACTGGGGTACAGGCCAGAGGTGCGGGGGGAAGGGGTGTGTGTCAGAAGATTCTCTCCAGAGACAGAGTGGGGAACAGAACATGCAGGCTGCGGGAAAATACACTGCTGAGGGGAGCAGTGGGCGAGACAGGAGAGGTCTGCGCCATGTGGGTAGCTCCCTGGCCAGCTGGGGATTGAACTTGTGTTGCAGCAGCTGCAAGCAGCTTCACAGTGCTCTGCTCAACCCCTTGCACCGCCAGGGAGGCCCAGATAGAAATTTCAAAAGACTCCAAGAAAAAAAGTTGTTCTCTGTGTTTATAGAAACTAGTTTGGCAGTAATGTTACATTTTTGTTTGGGATACTTCCCCTTTTCTTACAGGTGTCTGGTTGTATGTATACAAAATAATCTAGCGATTATCTTTATTTTAACATGGTTAAAAGCTGCGTGTTTCTTATAGTGAAAACTAAAATTTTGTCAAATAATCAAAGCCTGTAAGACTTCGTATAGGTTCTTTTTCCCTCGGTACAGAAGCTCTCTTGATTTTTCTTACTGTAGATGGCAGTAGTACCTAAGATATATTGAGGACAGAAAATCTTCAAAAAAGAGATTCATCACCTAATGTAATCTGTTTTCAAATAAACCACATGATTATATTTAAATTAAGGATGTCTGGGTTTCCTTGTGGGAAGGGGGTTCTGAAATTTAAATGTTCATTTTTCTGATCAGATCAAGGGGATATTTGAAGTAATTCCTCTAATTTGAATTTGGGATTTCAAAATTAAGGTTTAATTTTATAAAGCATGTTTGACTCATCACCTGTAAAAATTAATTTTCCCACATTCAGTGGTCGATCGAGTTCAGTTGATTTTTTCCGTTGGTTTTGTTTCCCGAGGCTGTCACTGTCCTAGTTTAGGAACTTTGTGCATTGCACATGAATTTCTGTCTTGTCTTTCCAATTGAAGTATATCATCTCTCCAGTTTGTCATACAGGAAATGTTTACTAAGGATTTATTATGTACCAGGTCTTGTACTCAGAGAACAGAGTATTACTAATCACGCTCAGATCAGCAGACAGTATCACTGGCAATCTGACATTAAGGAAAAAAATAAACCAGAACACAGCAATTTGTTGCCAAGGTCATTCTCAATAAAGATAAGCAGATTTTCTGATTTGTTTCCTTTTTCCTTTTTTTTTTTTTGTTTTCCCTACAAAGCCCTTTAAATCAGGTAACAGCAAGCCTGAAAGACTACTGTAATAAATAAAAAACCCCTTCGTGATAATACTGCAGCAGTAATGCAGTCTGTTTCAGGAATAGGTGGCAATGATTAGAACTTCTTTGTGCAAACTTCTAGGAATAGAGCAGATCATGCTGATCAAATATTCAAACTTTCCTTCTTAAGCTGTCATACTCAATCAAAGTTAGCAGGATCGAGGCCGTTTGAAGAGTTATAGAGTGATTGGTGAGAGAACTGTCTTTTTTTCCCCCAAAGATTAATTTATTTATGCATACAAGAGCTACAGTGTAGGCCAGAGGTGTGGGGAATGAGAGGATTCACAACAGACAGAGTGGGGAACAAAAAAGGCAGATCTACTAAAATATACTACTGAGGGGAGCAGCAGGTGAGACAGGAGAGGTCTGCTCCCTGGCCAGGGATGGAACTGGTGCTGCTGTGGCTGTGGATAGCTTCATAGTGCTGAGACATAACCCCTTGCACCACCAGCAAGGCCCTAGGGAACTATGTCTTTTATAGTGTATTTTCTGTAAATTTTCAGATTTTACATAAATCTTTTAAGCATATTTTTTTTTTAAGATTTATTTATTTTTATATAAGAGCTGGGGTATAGGCCAGAGGAGTGGCAGGGTGAGAGGATTCACCAGAGACAGAGCGGGGAGCAGAACAGGTAGACGACGGAAATACACTGCTGAGGGGAGCAGCAGGCGTGACAGGAGAGGTCTGCCATGCCATTTGGGGATCTCCCTGGCCGGCCGGGAATCAATCCCGCGCTGCAGATGCTGCGGACAACTTCACAGTGCTGCGCTTAACCCGCTGCACCACCAGGGAGACCCAAATCTTTTAAGCATATTAATGAAAACAGAAGCTGCTTTCCCCCCAACATTTTCAAAGCTGAGTCTTGTCTCAGTTTGTTGAAAATTTATTGCACCTTCTTAGAACTGTCTCTTTGTACTGTGCTGAGACCCTGCAAACACCCTCTCTTACCCTTAAAGATTTTACGCTCAAGGGCCTCCCTGGTGGCACAGGCAGTTGAGCACAGTGCTGTGAAGCTGTCCGCATCGTCTGCAGTGTGGGTTTGATCCTAGCCGGCCGGGGACATACTGACATGGCATGGCAGACCTCTCCGGTCTTGCATGCTGCTCCCCTCAGCAGTGTATTTTAATCAGTCTGCCTCTTCTGTTCCCCACTCTGTCTCTGGTGAATCCTCTCTCTCTCCTGCACATCTGGCCTGTACCCCGGTTCTTGTATAAATAAATAAATCTTTTAAAAAAAAAAAAAGATTTTACACTCAAGTAGAGGTGAGGTGGGATGTGTGAGGGGTAAGAGGTATGAACATGTTCATATTTTCTCATGACGCAAGCTTCTGAATTCCTTATTTAATAGTCCTTGGTATGTTGTAGAGAATCAGAATTCTCTAGACATTTGTCAGTGTTTGTCATCTTTTGTTTATATTTTATTTCTTTACTTTAGAATTAAGTTACTGGGCCTCCCCTGGTGGTGCAGGCAGTTGAGCACAGCGCTGTGAAGCTGTGCAGCCTCTGCAGTGCCGGTTCAATCCCGGCCGGCCGGCAAGGGTCCTACATGGCGTGGCAGACCTCTCCTGTCGCGCCCGCTGCGCCCCTCAGCAGTGTATTTCGTCAGTCTGCCTGTTCTGTTCCCCGCTGTGTCTCTGGTGAATTCTCTCACCCTCCTGCGACTCTGGCCTGTGCCCTGGCTCTTGTATAAATAAATAAATCTTTAAAAAAGAAAAAGGGTTCTTTTAAAAAAAAAAAATTAAGTTACTAAAATTATATCCTAAACATTCATATATAGTAGCATCTCCCTAGTTCCAAATTGGTGTAATGCTAAACACACAAAGAAGGTAAAGTTCTTAAATATTTAGTAAATGAATGGGTGCTGATCTGGCTTCAGTAACAGTCTGATTTTGAATGCTGGTGAATGCTGCTTCTTGGTTCAGTATGGCACAAGTTACAGCTAAATTAATGACTCATCTTAGACCCAGCTGCAGATACAGGTTTCATTTGATCAGGGTGACAAGAATTAATAAGCATTTTGACTTATGGAAGTAGAAAATGAGCTATTTCTTTTGTTTTAAGAACTGTCATTTTAAAATTACATCTTGTCAACATACATTACTTTCTCTCTTAATTGAGGTTTAAACAAAACCTTGATATTAGGAAAATTTCAAAGCTCTCTAGAAAAATAGAAAAAACTTTGTGACCAATAGCCCTTTCACTGCTTATCCACATGGAGCCAATCCTATTTCATTCATACCCAGGTCACTGAAGCATGCTGTTATTTTTTGAATGAAGATGCTTTAAAAGATAGTACTAGAAAGCCTAATTGCTTTTTGTGTTAATTATTATAACATTTTGGGGGGAGTCTTACAATGAAAATTGTAAGATGTAGATTTGATAAAAATTGGTAATACATATCAAGGAGCTTTTTAAAAAAGGGTATATCCTTAGTTCCATTAATTCCTTTTCTGGAATCTATCTTTAGGAAATAGAAATTAAAGCCAAGATGATTATGTAAAAATATTTCTCACAGCTTTATTTATAATATTGAACAACTGAATATCCACATACACCTAAGAATAGGGAATAATAAATCCACATGGTGCTGGAATGTTACTATTTTTAAAATGTCTTTGAAGAATACTTAATGGTATGAAGAAATACTCTTAAAAAAAAAGAAAGGGGGCCTCCCCGGTGGCGCAGCGGTAGAGCGCTGGGTTGCGAAGCTGCCTGCGGCCTCTGCGGCGGTGGTTCAATCCCCGGCTGCTCCCCGGCCACCGGAGGAGGGTCCCACATGGCGTGCAGACCTCTCCTGCCGCCCGCTGCTCCCCTCAGCAGTGTACTTCGGTCCTTCTGCCTGCTCTGCTCCCCGCTCTGGCTCTGGTGAATTCTCTCGCCCTCCCGCGCTTCTGACTGTACCCAGTGCATGTATAAACAAAACAAACAAGCAAGCAAAACAAATAAATAAAGAAAAACATGCCTCTATAAAAAAAAAAAAAGAAAAAAGAAAAAAGAAAGAGGGCCTCCCCCGGTAGCACAGCGAGTTGAGTGCAGCACTGTGAAGCTGTCTGCAGCCTCTGCAGCACCGGTTCGATTCCCGGCTGGCCAGGGAGAATCCCACATGGCATGGCAGACCTCTCCTGTTGCACCCGCTGCTCCCCTCAGCAGTGTATTTCTTCAGTCTGTCTGTTCTGCTCCCCGCTCTGTCTCTGGTGAATCCTCTTACCCTCCCGCGACTCTGGCCTATACCCCAGCTCTTGTATAAATAAAATAAATCTTAAAAAAAAAAAGAAAGAAAATTGTATCTGCAAGCTGTATAGCATCTTCTCATTTATTTTATTTTGGTCTGTGAAGATCTGATTCACTCTTATCCTTGTTCTACTAAATCAAACTTGGCTTCCATTGGGTTCCATAATTTCAAGGAAAGCTTTTTTTCCCCTTTTCCTGATTTTTAAAATATTGTCAGTTACCTACTCAGTCCTTCCAAATTGCTGTTTGTTTACTGAAACCTGCATTGTGACCACAAGTCAGAATTCAGGATGCTTGTGTTTAAAGAGGCTAGGATAGAAATGAATCAGGTATTGCATGTTTTCAGATGATTGGTATTAAGTACATTTTAGGCAGTGAGGTTTTTTCCTTCTGTGAGGTTAGCAATCAACATACTTTCTGCCTGTGGGCTTTTTTTTCCTTTTTCGTTTTACAGATTTTATTTATTTATGCATACAAGAGCTGGGGTACAGGCTAGAGATGCAGGGAGTGGGCGGATTCACCAGAGACTGATCAGGGAACAGGAAGATCTACTGAAATACACTGCTGAGGGGAGCAGCGGGCAAGTCAGGAGAGGTCTGCTGCGCCATGTGGGTTGCTCCCTGGCTTGCCGAGGATCGAACTCATGCTGCAGAGGCTGCGGATTGCTTCATAGTGTGGTGCTTAACCTCTTGCGCCACCAGGGAGGCCCTCCTTTTTCTTTCTTTGTGGGTTTTTCTTAATGACTAATAATGTTATTTTCTTTGTCCTAACTTTTCAGATTATAAGCACACCACAGAGACTAAGCAGTTCAGGAAGTGTTCTGATCGGGAGTCCATACACCCCTGCACCAGCAATGGTTACTCAGACACACATCGCAGAAGCTGCTGGCTGGGTCCCAGGGTAAGGGTGTTGTGGCAGTTACTGGTTTTGAAACTTTTTTTTTTTAAGTTCTGACTTTTTTCTCTTGCTATCTTGTCTCCCATTTTTTATTGTACACTAATCTAGTTCTTAAAAACGAACATGTTCCCTTTTCAATCACCTTTTTTACTCTCTATCTTAGATAGGTCATTTCTGAAGCAACCATTTTTAAAAAGGTGGGGAAAGCAGTACAATAACTTATACCCGAATCTTCTGACTTTTTCAATTCTGAAAGAAAATTACTTATTATGACATTTAGCTGTCTTGGACGTGTAAAAACTGTACTTTATATTGTTTTGACAATCATAAGAGTTAGAAGCTAAGGGTTGGCTACATAGAGAATTTCTCCCGTGGATTCTTATATCCTTAGAGCCAGAAAAGGAACACAGAATAAGTGACTTAAACATTCAATATTTTAAATTCTTTATTGATTTTCCTCTTGATTCTTTTTAAATATCAGGCAACTAAGTCAATATCCCTTCTATGTCAGTCATTTGCCACTTTTAGCATCAAATCTTTGCCCATTCATGCCTGCCTATAAAATGACCCTACCCAGCCTTGCTCCCCTCTTCACCATTTTAGAATCTTATCTTTCCGTAAGAAAAAGAAATAGTAAAATGACTTAAAATGTCAGTCATTTTTTTCACTTTAGAAGCTACTTCCATGGTGTCATGTGGCACTGGCAGTTCACTGACTTACAGTTGTGAGTCCAAGTTTCACATGTGTAGCTCCTTTTCTGTTATCAAATGAGACATAATGACACGGCCACTCAGAGCCCATAGCTTATATTCTCTTCTTAAGATCATTCTCATGTAGCACTAAAAGTCAACCTTGGATTTCAGTCTAGCTCTTAGAGACTATAACATGAAAGTCAAGCCTATGCCAACAGTGTTGATCCACTTTAGAGATGACCAGGGTTTAGATATTTTTCAGCTCTAGGGAGGCTTTATATCGGTGCTAGTATGATTATCTGGTGGTGGTTGTTGTTGTTGTTTTGTCTACCATCAGCATGATTAAAACTTTTCTGTGCCTTCTCTTTTGTGAATCTGCAATATTTACCCCCCAAAGTTTCATTGAGTTCTTTTCAAGCAGTGACTATGATGTTATAATTTCTTGGCCCTGTGATAAAATTTTAATTTTAATTTTTTTATATGTCTTTCGTGTTGGTTAGTTTTTGTGGTTAGTCATATTCATTGTGGAATTAGACACGATACAATAAATTACTTATGAAATGAGTTATATTTATAACTTTTTGTGTTCTTTTTGTGCTATCTTTTTTTTCTTTGTAGTGATAGAAAACGGGCTAGAGAATTTATAGACTCTGATTTTTCAGAAAGGTGAGTATAATTACTTTGTTTGGCACATGGTACTACATAGAGGGTTTCCTGACTAGACTCAACTCCAGGTTAGGTGATGAGATGTTTTCCTGCACCAAACTTTATTTAACTTTGACTTTCTGCCATTATTTCGCTCCCTATTGAGTACTGTACTTCACTTAGGTTTTTTGTTTGTTTGTTTTTATATTTTAAAAGGATAGGTTTACTAGGAAAAGGAGAAAGCAAAAGAGAGGCACCAGCATAGTCACAGGTGGGCAGGAGAGCTGCCTCTATGTCGTTTATTTTCATAAATTATATTATTAAATTTATTATACTAAATTATTATAAATATTCTACTATACTAAATTATGTTACAGAATTAACATATTAAGTATACTAAATTTATTATATTTGTTTGGCTTCAAAAGAAATGGCCCTATGAGTAGTTTGGCTATTGGCAGAGTATCATGGACCTTCCTCCTTTTGGAAGCTGAACTTTTCTGCCAAAATGAATATTCCACATTAGTCCCACATGCCCAAAGTTTTTACAAGCAAGTTTTATTGAACACATTTAAAGATCATAATAAATTCTCACTCTTGGTTAAATGATCTGTGGCGCATAATAAAACTTCCCTGACTGTTAGAGTGGTTCTCAGTTCTAGTGCATCAGAACCAACTGTGGTCTGTTAAATAAAATATCAGGGCTGCCAAGTCAGTAACTCAGGATTAAAAACTATCACATTAAGATCATTCATTAAACTTAAATTCATTGGGCCTCCCCGGTGGCGCAGCGGTTGAGCACTGGGTTGCGAAGCTGCCCACAGCCTCTGCAGTGCTGGTTCGATCCCCGGGTGCTCCCCGGCCACCAGAGGAGGGTCCCACATGGCGCGCAGACCTCTCCTGCCGCCCGCTGCTCCCCTCAGCAGTGTCCTTCGGTCCTTCTGCCTGCTCTGCTCCCCGCTCTGGCTCTGGTGAATTCTCTCACCCTCCCGCGCTTCTGACTGTACCCAGTGCTTGTATAAATAAATAAATAAATAAATAAATAAATCTTTAAAAAAAAAAAAAAAAGAAAAAAACTTAAATTCATTATTCCATGCAAGCCACTATACTGGGTTGATACTAAGTTGTATTTTGTTTAAATAGGACAAGAAGCCCCACCAGGGGCAGTTGAATTCTATAAGATTGTTACTATTTTGAACAAAATAGTATGTTTGCCAGCTATTTTTTTTTCAATTTTATTATGATTCTAAGATTTTGTCATTCCTTTTTTCAAAGGTGTTTTAGTTTCTTTCCCCTGTTCAGTCATCTGCTCTTGATACACTTGTTTTCTGTCTTTTCCACTTCTACTTCGCTTTGCTAGCTCTGATTTGCTGTGCACTGAGAAGCTGCATGGCTTCAGTCTGAAATAGAATAAATTCAGTTAGAATTCATTCTGAAATAAAAGTGAATAGGCTCTGGAGACCTGGATGTGTGTTTTCATTTATTTATTTATTTATGCATACAAGAACTGGGGTGTAGGCCAGAGGTATAGGGGGTGAGAGAATTCACCAGAGACAGAGTGGGGAGCAGAACAGATGGATCTACTGAAATACACTGCTGAGGGGAAGCAGCGAGCAAGACAGGAGAGGTCTGCTGCACCATGTGGGTTAGCTTCCTGGCCTGCCAGGGATTGAACTCCTCTGCAGTGGCTGCTGATAGCTTCATAGTGCTGAAACTTGTCCTTGTGCCACCAGATGTTATAAAACTCATATGTAGTCTTATATCTTTGTTCAGGAATATGCTTATCAGCTTTTAATAGTTACTAAATGTCTAGTTCCTATTTAAGCAGTGTATTTAGTTTCTTTAAATATTATCTGTGTATAACTATAGAGAACAAATTAGGCAAGTGATCAGCCCAAACTATTATCTTTTTGCTCCCTTAGAAAAAAAGAAAGGCCTATAATTATACGAAAAACAACAGTCCTGCTTAGTCCCTGGCTTTTATGTAAACACTGAGTTGAGAATTTTATTTTACTTTTTAAAGATTTATTTTTATTTATGCATATAAGAACTGGGGTATAGGCCAGAGGTGCGGAGAGTGACAGGATTCACCAGAGACAGAGTGGGGAGCAGAACAGGTGGATCTACTGAAATACACTGCTAAGCGGAAACAGAAAGCTAGACAAGAGAGGTCTGCTGCACCGTGTGGGTCAGTTCCCTGGCCCAGGATGGAACTTGATAGTGCTGATTAACCCCTTGCATCCCCAGGGAGGCCCTGAGTTAAGAATTTTATTTACTTTAACCCATTATCCAATTCTTAGCGTAAATATAAATCCCACATGCACAACATATTTCTCTCAACATAGCTCCTGTACCCTATATTTAGCAATTCTTATTTACTCTTGTTACTTAAATAGTACTGATTATATGTGTGACTAGTCATTTGTATGGTAGAGGAACAGAATTTGCCTCTCCCAAATGTGTTTCTTTAGTTTAAGGGTTATTTTAGGCTGGTTATTTTGGGGAAACATAAGACACAGGAGGGACTGTGAAAGCTGGGTGGAGGGCACTCTTTTATAAGATACATTTACATATATAAAGGAAAATCTCCACTTGTAAGGGTGTCAACCCTCAGTATCTATACTGGAAGAAGGGATGGCCAGATTTCTTTCTCCATTATCTTTCATCAGTGGAGGAGGGTGCAACTTAAATTTGTATAACAACCCTGGTATAACAAATCTGCATAATAAGGGTTTACATTGCTTTTCTGGTAATCTCCCTTACTGGCTTCCTGTTCACCCTTTGTCTCTAGTCGATGTTATTTTAGGGGGTGGCTTAGGCTGTTTGGGTGAGTTACTCAATTTTTCTGGGTCTCTCCCATTATGCAAAAGGCATACATGTTATTAAACATTTGTTTTCCTCCTGTAAATGATTTTTTTTTCAAAGATTTATTTATTTATGCATACAAGAACTGGGGTACTGACCAGAGGTGCGGGGGTGGGGAGTGATAGGATTCATCAAAGACAGAGGGGAACAGAACCAGCAGATGGACCGAAATACACTGCTGAGGGGAGCAGCGGGCGGGTCAGGAGAGGTCTGCTGCACCATGTGGGTTGCTCCTTGCCCAGGGATCGAACTCCTGCCTCGTGCTGCAGTGGCTGCAGTTAGCTTCATAGGTTGCATTTTAACCCCTTGTGCCACCATGGAGGCCCTCTCCTATAAATCTTTTATTGAAGGATGTCTCGATCACGGACACAAAAGGGTAGAGGAATAACAGTACCTAAATACACCAGAATCCATAAGCAGATCAGCAAGAGTGAGCTTTGTGTGGAAATGTATGTAGCAAATGGGAATTGGTGATTCTTTCAAAAATTGAAATTACTTAGAACAATGCCTGGCACCATTCGCTAGGTACTTACCATTGCCACCACTGAGTTTAAACAGAACCAGTGTCATGATTGCATTTATGTAGAAAAATCACTTAATGACCACATGGGTAAAGAATTGCAAAGCCTCTAGACAGCACAAAGGAAAACTGTTATCAGGTTCTAGTTATATCCTGAGAGAGATTATCAGGGCCAGAATTAGGGCAATGGGAACAAAAAGAAGAGGTTGAATTTAAGAATTATTTAAGACAAGACTTGAATTAGATTTTATTGATGGAGTTCAGGTGATGGAGTTTGGAACGTGGGGTTCTTGGGTCCCTCTGAGAAAGAATTTAGCAGATGTTCCCATTCATCAGCACTTGGCAAGTTTGTTGAGAAAAGAAAGAATAAGGAAGGAGCCACCTGTTTAGACATAGCCGGATAGGAAAGCTGCCATTTTGGAAAGCGTTAAGAAAGGGAAGCCTGCATAGACACAGGCGGGGAGTCTTAAAGAAGGAGAGCTGTGTTTTGCCAGGGCTAGGGGTGTTCTTTTATAATGTTTTTGGATGGAATGGCTGTGGAAATTATCACCTTGGAGTCAGATTGGGTTAATCCTCTCTGCCCCCACCTCTGGCTGATAATCTTTTCTGACCCCACCTGAGATTCCTGGAACATTCCATAGCTGGCTGGTTAAATTAAGATTTATTAATCATCCCTATCCTCACCTCTGGCATTTGTCCTTGTGACACTTTCCATCCTAAATTTTTCTACTCTAAGATTCCATCAATATTACATTAAGTTAGATTGATCACATAGAGAGGTAGATGACTTGTGGGACTGTGCTGTTGCTTGTCAAATGAGAAATGCAGTAGGTGTTTCTTGTTCCTGGAGGTACAAGTCATATTTGAAAGCAGAATAAATAACTTGATCCATTCCCCTTTTTAGCGAGTTTTCAAGATAATTTGTTTTTAACTACCTCCAAAGGTGAACAGGCCTTCCCTTTTAAAAATACCATTATGGGGTCTCCCTGGTAGCCTAAAGGGTTAAGTCTCAGCATTCTGAAGCTATCCGCAGCCACTGAAGCATGAGTTCGATGCCCTGCCATAATCCTTATGGCACAGGAGACCTCTCCTATCTCCCCTGCTGCTCCCCTCAGCAGTGTTTTTCAGTCAGTCTGCCTGTTCTGCGCCCCACTCTGTCTCTGGTGAATCCTTTCAACCCCCACGCCTCTGGCCTCACCCCAGCTCTTGTATGCATAAATAAAATAAAATTTTAAAAGTAAATCTTTAAAAAAATACCATTATGAACTCATGAATTTAAGCATATTTAATGGGTTTCATATATTTGGGATTGTGTCAGCATTGAAGCTTTAACTTTTCCATCCTTGAACTATAGGAGTCTCTTCTAGTTGACTCATAAATAATTTTCACATGTCCCTAGAAGTCTTTCATAAAGCTTTTTCCTAATCTGGTTTGACAAGATTTTCCAAGTTCATTTAATATATTTCCTGCCCCATACTGTTACAGGGCAGGGAGAGGGGCACCTTAGAACCCCCAAACCAGCCTGCTCTAAATAGGTTCTTCTACCTGCCACATCAACACAAAACATGTAAGACTTTAATGGAAAAGAACTTTAATACAATCGGTAAACAATACAGAAAAGACAAAGTATATAGTTTTAAAATCAAGCACCCAAAGTTACCCATCTCCTCATGGGTAAAAGTCCACCCAAACGGGATTGGCCCAGAGCAAGGCCCGAAAGCCTGCCACTAGTCTAAAGCACCTTGCAGTGGGGACCCACAGAAAAGCATCAGAAACAACCAGACAAGTCTGGGAGGAAAAGAGCAAAATCAAAATCAAGGTTAAAGCTGCCATTGTCACCTCCCACAGGTCTCTCACCCACATCTTTGTCAACCAGCCCAGGACCAAAAGGCAAGTGCAGTTTCTTCCCATGTCTCTCTGCTCCTTGTGCCTCCTCCAGGTCTCCTTCTGGCTCTCCATCCTGCTTCCTTCCTTCCTCAGTTTCCTCTCCGGCTTCTTCTGCTCTCTGCTCAGCTCCACCCTCCTTTGGGTAGTGCAGGAAACCTAGAACTTCCCCTTTTCCTGGGTTCCACCCTGTTACAATACCTAGAATTTGCCATTTCTCCAAGCCCTGGTTTCCTGTAGGGTAAATTACATGCCAAGCTCCACGTGGGGTTTAGATATACTCCTTGCTACCAAGTTGGGCATTTTAAAAGAATAGAACTAAAATACATACACAGAGATGTTAATATTTAATGAATTAATACTGATACTTCAAATTAAAATCTTATTAAACTGATTCTCTATTATATCTCAGCCCCTTTCCTTCCATACTGAGAATCTTGATTTTCAAGAACAAAGGGATGATAGAATATGTGGATACAATATTACTTGTTGGTTTTATCCCATATTACATGCTCAATGGTTCCAAATAATAATACTAATGTTACCACTAATGTGATGACAAAAATATTTTGAAAAATTGTGCATATGCTATCTCCATTCTTTCCCCAATTTTTAAATAGCCATACTTTATCCACAGAACATATAGCCATTTATATACTGTAGTCTTTCTTTTTTTTTTTATTTAAATTTTTTTTTTTATAGAGGCATGTTTTATTTATTTGTTTGTTTGTTTTGTTTATACAAGCACTGGGTACAGTCAAGCGCAGGAGGGTGAGAGAATTCACCAGAGCCAGAGCAGGGAGCAGAGCAGGCAGAAGGACCGAAGTACACTGCTGAGGGGAGCAGCGGGCGGCAGGAGAGGTCTGCGCGCCATGTGGGACCCTCCTTCGGTGGCTGGGGAGCAGCCGGGGATCGAACTGGCGCTGCAGAGGCAGAGGCCGCGGGCAGCTTCGCAACCCAGCGCTCAACCGCTGCGCCACCGGGGAGGCCCTACTGTAGTCTTTCTTAACCTTCATTTAGTCTTATATCTACAGGAACTATATATTTAACGCTCGCCAGTATATATATATATATATATCAATATCTCTTTCATTTTGATTATCTGAAGCTTGTTCTCTGATGGTTTCCTCAGGAAGAGGTCATGTGTGTAGTATTTCCTGAGTTTGTGCCCTGTGTATTTAAATCAGTTTTATTAGATAGAAAAATTCCTGGATCAAATGTTCTTTAAATTTCTAAATTTCTTCAGGTATAACACATGCTGTTGAAAAATCTGATGTTCTTTTCTTCTAGATACCTAATGGATTCTTTTTCTTTAAAATTCAGTAATTTTGCTAGAACATTTTGGCATTTGTCATTCTGCTTGATACTCTCTTTTGTTTTAGGGACATTTCCTTGAATTATAACATTTAATGCTTATTCTGTTTCTCTGCTTTGATTTTTTCATTTTGAGATATGTTTGTGTATTCTTTGCTTGCCTTTACTATTTGTAATTTTTTCTTGAATGTCAGTTCTAGGAATTATACCGACTAGATCGTAGCAGCCTCTTCAGACTTCCTTGTAGGCCCTAGCACTTAACTGGTGTGGAGAAGGGCAGATTCCTCCCATTTCAACTGCTGCTCTCAAATCTGCCTGCTGGCTTCTCTAGTAAAGTCTCTTTGGCTGTTTCCAGATAATCCTGTTCTCAGGGTCACAGATGCAACCCTGCTAAGTATTTCATCTTCTGCCCACACAGACACTACTGTGTAGCCAGGGGGTAGAGCATTTGACTGTAGGCACTGCTGCACCGAACTTTCTCTGTTGGTAATTTGTCTTCCAGGGTTTATTGAGGATATCTTGCCATCTAGTTTTGTTATAAATATCAAGGGATTTTGGCTTAGTTATGTAGTTGCTTTGTTTTTATGTAGGGATTTGGAGAGTTTGAAAATTATGCTACTGTTGCTGTCTTCCCAGATTTACTCACAACTGGGGGGTGGGGGTGGGTGGGGGTGTGTGTGTGTGCATGTGAGTTGTCAGGATTTAAATAAATTGTCTTTCATGATCTATAAATTTATCTTTTCTCTCATAATTTATTAGTTGAAAAAAACATAGTTTGACACATTCTTCCCCACTCTGTATTTCCTTTAGACTGGTAATTGGATCTGGAGTCTTGAACAGATTCAAGTTTCATGATAGGCTGTATGTTGAACATACACACACACATCACAGACAATGGATGGGGTAGACAGTATGGAAATAGAAAACTGGACTGAAAAACTCAAGTTGAAAAGTTTAACTTTGAAAAATAAGCAGTTCCATAGGAACAAAGTAGAATAATAGTTCCCAGAGGCTGGGGCCAGAGAAAATGTGTAGTGACTGCTAAGTCTTTTTAGAATCCTTTTTAGGGAAATAAATTAGACTATGGAGGTGGTGACATAACTCTTAAAAGCCACAGAATTATATACTTAAAAAAAATGAATTTCACGGGCCTCGCTGGTGCACAGGCATTAAAGTCTAGTGCTATCAAGCTATTGCCACTGCAGCGAGTTCTGTCCCTGGCCATAGAGATACCCACATGGCACAGCAGATCCCTCCTGTCTCATCCATCCACTGTCCCCCTCAGCAGTGTATTTCAGTCAACCTGCCTGTTCTGTTCCCCACTGTCTCTGGTGAATCCTCTCACCCCCCGCATCTCTTGCCTGTAACCCAGCTCTTGTATGCATGAATAAATAAATCTTTTTTTTTAAAAAAAAGGGGGGGCCTCCCCGGTGGCGCAGCAGTTGAGCACTGGGTTGCGAAGCTGCCCACAGCCTCTGCAGCGCCGGTTCAATCCCCGGCTGCTCCCCAGCCGCCGGAGGAGGGTCCCGCATGTCACGCAGACCTCTCCTGCAGCCCGCTGCTCCCCTCAGCAGTGTACTTTGGTCCTTCTGCCTGCTCTGGTGAATTCTCTCACCCTCCCACGCTTCTGACTGTACCCAGTGCTTGTATAAATAAATAAATAAATCTTTTTAAAAATAAAAAAATAAATAAAAAGGGGGGGAGCAGCGGGCAAGTCAGGAGAGGTCTGCTGTGCCATGTGGATTGCTCCCTGGCCAGCTGGGGATTGAACTCGTGGTGAAGAGGCTGCAGATTGCTTCATAGTGCGGTGCTTAACCCCTTGCGCCACCAGGGAGGCCCTAAATTAAAATAAATCTTTTTTTTTTTAAAGATTTATTTATTTTATTTATACAAGCACTGGGTACAGTCAGAAGCGTGGGAGGGTGAGAGAATTCACCAGAGCCAGAGGGAAGAGCAGAGCAGGCAGGCTGACGAAGTACACTGCTGAGGGGAGCAGTGAGCGGCAGGAGAGGTCTGCGCGTCATGTGGGACCCTCACCCAGTGGCCGGGGATCGAACCAGCGCTGCAGAGGCTGGTTAGCTGTATTCAACTGTCTGTTGAATAAATCCATTGGAATATTAGAGGCATATCCAACTCAACATCATTGCTATCCAATAGAAATGTAATTCAAGCCACATGTAATTTTTAATTTTCTAATATCTGATTTAAAATAAAAAGAGGGGCCCCCCTGGTGGTGCAAAGGGTTAAGACACAATCTATGAAGCTATCTGCAGCCTATGCAGCGTGAGTTCTATCCCCAGCCAGGGAGCTTCCCACATGGTGCAGCAGACCTCTCCTGACCCGCCTGGTGCTCCCCTCAGCAGTGTACTTCCATCTATCTGCCTGTTCTGTTCCCCACTCTGGCTTTGGTGAATCCTCTCACCCCCCACACCTCTGGCATATACCCCAGTTCTTGTATGCATAAATAAATAAATCTTTTCTAAAAATAAAATAAAATAAAAAGAAACATGAAATTAATTTCTGGTTAATCCAATATATCCAAATACTATATTTCAACATGTAATACAAAAATTATTCATGAGATATTTTACATTCATTTCTAATTAAATTCTTTGAAAAAATCAGTGTGTATTTTACATTTACAGCATGTATCAGGTCAGACTTCCCACGCAGTAGCTTCCTGTGAGTTATGCCAAGTTAGTCCAGTAACACCTGTGAGCTGTGGAACTGTGCAGATGAGATTTAAAATAGACCTGAGAACTTCTTCCTGTTTCCTTGATCTCAGTAAGACTCCTCTTTCTAAGGTCATTCTCCTGTTTCCCTCTTCCATACCATCCACATTAATCAGTCATTGAGGTGTACTGATTTTAATCTTTGAAAAGGTACATCCGTCTCTGGTAAATCTCTCTTCATGTCCAATCCTAGCCCCAGTTGCAGGACTCATTGTTTCTTACCTGAGCTGTTACAGTAATGTCCTAGCTATTCTTCCTGTCTCTGAATTTGTTCCCCATACATTCATGTTATACTTCATGCCCAGAATATCTGCCTAATTGAAAATCTCTCCTTGTCATTCCCCACTCAATAGTGGCTACTTGGTATTTCACAAGTAGACTGAGAAGTAAGGTATCTGTACCATAGGAGTGCACAGATGACTCCTTATTTCATTCTTTTAAAAGTACATTTAGTGTCTATTAATGTGCACCACATAGTAGAACATGTAACTGATCTATAAATAATAATAACATCATACTAATGGAATATGGTGAAGTCCAGTTTCCTTTGTTTGGAGTTTAAGGACCTGGCATCTTACCTTTTTGCCTCGTCTTTTGCTTTGCACTTATTCTGGTAATACCACACTGTTTATAAATCTCTGAAAATGTGTCGTGTTTTTAACGCTGCCACATGTTTACTGCTGTTTCTTCTGCCTGGATATCTTTCCTAACTTTCTTCACTTTCCTTCTTTTCTTCAGTAGTAAGATCACTAGCCGTGAGGTCTACTCTCTCAACAAAAATGAAAGTGAACACTGTTAATTTCAGGCACTATGTTGTACAACAGACCTATAGAACTTACTTGTCTTGCATAACTGAAACTTTATACCTGTTGAACAAGAACTTCCCATATTATCTGTCACTCAGTTCCCGTAGAAATTTGTGACTCTGACTTAGCATTTATCTTAGTGTATTGGAATTGCCTACTATCATATGTCTATTTTGTCTTTTCCTGTTCTCCAAGACTCAGATCAAGAGAAAGGATTCAGCTGCATTTTTTTTTTCTTTCAGCCCTGTTATGGTTTTTGGCATATATTTGGCACTCACATATATGTGGAAGCAAACTGAACACCTAAGAATTTTAATAATTTATCAAAGTTTTAAGTCAGGCATTAACCAAACTTAAAATAAGTGAAGACTTAAATTCATTATTCATACCAGTGACCGCTGATGGAAAATTGAGTAGCTAAATGAAACAGAATAGTGATATTTTTAACTTTAAGAGAAAAAGAATTATAGCATACATAAAATACAGTAAGTTAAGTATTAAGTATATAGACTCTACAAAGGCAGGGTTTTTGTCTGTTCTTTTCACAGATTTACTCCAGTGTGTAGAACAGTGACTGACACATAATAGTAAGTAACTGGTTAGTAAATATTTATTGAAAATAAATAATGTGCATAGAAAAACACTGTAGCTTCTTACTTGATTAGACTTTTAAGGCAAAAATTAAGTTCAAAACATTTCTTCATCTCTAATTCAATTTAAAATTTACCACTTGAAACAAATGAAATTACTGTCTTCTCACAATAGCTTATAGTTTTGTAAAGGCTGTGTCTACTAATTATAATAGAATATAAATAAATACATTTTTTCTTTTTTTAGTAAACGAAGCAAAAAAGGAGATAAAAATGGGAAAGGCTTAAGACATTTTTCAATGAAAGTGTGTGAGAAAGTTCAGCGGAAGGGTACAACATCCTATAATGAAGTAGCTGATGAGCTGGTTTCAGAATTCACCAACTCAAATAATCATCTGGCAGCTGATTCGGTAGGTGGCTTATGAACTTGCTCTAGACTGATGCTCTTGACGCGACACTGGACCACTGGGTTCTGTCATCAATCTGAGAACTCAGAAGACAGGCGAAGACATCCCCAACTTCACCCTTACTGGAGGATTTCATATTGTCTGTTGGGGATTTTTGTTGTTGATTTTGTGTTGTTCCAGAAAGGATTCTTTTACTATTTTTTGAAACATAGAGATAAGCAAGTATTTTTAAAATACCATTTTGCCATTCCTACATGTCTTCGGATATGTTTCTGAATCTTTTAGTGTTTCTTGAATGTTTAAATCAGTTAAGTCATTGAAAATAAGCACAAGCATATTTATAAAAATTCAGTTGTTCTAAAGAGTATATTATATAATAGAAAATATCTCTTTTACCAGAGACCATAATCTACCTTCCCTTGAAGGCAAGTGTCAGTATTTTCAGATTCTGAGCATCATTCAAAATATTCTTTACAATAACATTTCCTTTTTTTTTTTTTTTTTTTTTTTGCATTAAAGAGCTTTTAATGAAACACTTCCCCTATTTCTGTGGCAGAATGGGGCAGTAAATAATTTTTTTCCCTTTACTGTTCTCTGGACACTTGAAAGAAAGTATATGGCTTTCTGATTGTGAATGAAGTCAAACTTCTTTCAATGATATGCAAAACCCAGTGTGCATCTTCACAGATCTCACCTCCTCCTGCACTCCCTCAAGAGCTATATTCCAGCCAAACATTTCATTGACTATGCCAGATTATTCTTTTCATCATTATTTAGTATTCTTTCCTCTTCCCTGAAGTTACTTTTGATGTTTTTCTATCCCATAGACTATGATACATACTTTTTCCACTTAGAGCTGTTTTTTTTTTTTTTTTTTTTAAACTTATTTTATGTTTTGGATTGTTGAAAGTGTCATTTTTTTCATCTTTATTTTTGAAGGCCATTTTCACTGGGTGTAGAATACTTTGAGCACTATGACTGCTTTGATAGTATGACTGATTTTGTGATATCATTAAGACTTTATCTTAATACCTAAAATGTATCACTCAGTAGAGATATTTTTTAGCAGGCTTATGACCAGAAGAATATTAGGCGAAGAGTTTATGACGCTTTAAATGTGCTAATGGCAATGAACATAATTTCAAAGGAGAAAAAAGAAATCAAGTGGATTGGCCTGCCTACCAATTCTGCTCAGGAATGTCAAAACCTGGAGGTAAGTGAGGAAAATCCATTTGTAGTTAGTAATTCATCTTATCTCACACCAGAGGCATTTTAATTTAGAAATGTGGTTAAAATATTGCTAATCTCTTTGTTCATATATGCTATGTCATTTAAAAAAATGCTCTAGGGCCTCCCCGGTGGCGCAGCGGTTGAGCGCTGGGTTGCGAAGCTGCCTGCAGCCTCTGCAGCCGGTTCGATCCCCGGCTGCTCCCCGGCCACCGGAGGAGGGTCCCACATGGCGAGCAGACCTCTCCTGCCGCCCGCTGCACCCCTCAGCAGTGTCCTTTGGTCCTTCTGCCTGCTCTGCTCCCCGCTCTGGCTCTGGTGAATTCTCTCACCCTCCCGCGCTTCTGACTGTACCAGTGCATGTATAAACCAAACAAACAAACAAATAATAAATAAATAAATAAGACTGCCTCTAGAAAATTAAAAAAAAATAAATTAAAAAAAAATAAATAAATAAAAAATGCTCTAAGGCATAAAAGTTGGGAATGAAAGCTTTAGACATACAGTTTAACAAATTCATTTTACAAATGATGAAACTAAAGGACATAGATGTTAAATGACTTGATTTTTACTGTTTCATAAAGATCTTGTTCCCCCTTCCTGGCGGGCTCCACGCAGCGCCTGTGCAGCTGGTGACCTTCCCCAGTTGTTGACATGTAGGTCGGGCAGCCATGGCCGTGGGTCAGGATCGGCCCGGAGATGTTTCAGAGCCTCATTAAAAGTGTTCGGACCTGGGCCTCCCAGGTGGCACAGCAGATTGGGTGCAGTTCTGCGGAGCTGTCCGCAGCCTCTGCAGTGCACGTTCGATTCCTGGCCGGCCAGGGAGATACCCACATGGCGCGGCAGACCTCTCCTGCCTCGCCTGCTGCTCCCTTCAGCACTGTCCTCCATCCATCTGCCTGTTCTGTTCTGTCTCTGGTGAATCGCTCACTTTCCTGTGCCTCTGGCCTGTACTCCAGCTCTTCTATAAAAATAAATCTTGGGCCTCCCCGGTGGCGCAGCGGTTGAGCGCTGGGTTGCGAAGCTGCCCATAGCGCTGGTTCGATCCCTGCCTGCTCCCCGGCCACATGGCGCGCAGACCTCTCCTGCTACCCGCTGCTCCCCTCAGCAGTGTACTTCGGTCCTTCTGCCTGCTCTGCTCCCCGCTCTGGCTCTGGTGAATTCTCTCACCCTCCTGCGCTTCTGACTGTACCCAGTGCTTGCATAAATAAATAAATAAATAAATAAATCTTTGATAGATAAATAAATAAATAAATAAATCTTTAAAGAAAATGTTCGGACCCCCCATGAAGCCCCACTATACCCAGGTCTAGCAGGAGATCTGGGTAGGAATGGGGCTGATGAACGTCATCATTTATAAGACTAGGAATGCTGATAAAAGAAGTAAAGCTTTGAAAGGTCCGAGTCCCGCACCTGCCCACGGCCACCACTGACCGGCCCGCCGCAGTGCCAGACCTATGGAGCCAGCAGTGTGGGACACCCCTGTGCCCTCGTCCAGCCCCGTCTCCTCCATGATGTGAATAAATGTCCCTGTGAGACCGGCCACAAAAGAAAAAAAAAATCTTTATTCTAAATTCTGCTAATAAAATTTTGATGATTCATAAAAAAATGGTATGTTACATAATGAGATGCTTGCTATCTGCATCCTAAAAGAAAAGTGGATTAAGTGGTTTAGTTCTTGTATTTAAACTTTTACCTTTGACTCGGGTCAGCAGTAACAGAATAGTGTTTCATTTTTATCTTTATCAGAATGGTCAGAATATTCAGTTTATGGGAATTTTGGGATGATGTGTGCAACTTTTTTTTTCCTGTTAACTTTTTTCATCATAGAAAATCTTTCCTAAAAAGAGCATGTGCCTTGACATGTTGTTTCTAAGTTATTTTTGCAAGATTTACTGTGATGGTCATAAATAATATAAGCTAAGGTTACATAGAGCTTATAGAGATAAACAGGGTTGGTTTTATGTTTTTCTGAGTCCATTCCCCACTCATCCCTCCAGCAATCTAAAAGTATTCGGTTTTATTATGCTTGTGAATGGGAGGAGAAACCAGACGTTCATCAGAATCTATAGAATGATTCACATAGTAAAATGGAATTTCCCAGTCATATTAGGCTGATAGCAAAGAATCAGTAAGCAAAAATATATCAGCATTTGTCCTGTGCTTAACCAGAAATACAGTCTTTGACCTCAAGGAGTTTTCATTCTCATTGAAGAGAGGAGAAACTGAAAAACTCCTATAAAAGAAGTAGGTATAGATCCTCTAGAAAGGGAGATAAGGAAGGTTTTACCAAGAAAAAAAAATCCCTGGCCTCCTTGGTGGCACAGGGGTTAAAATCTCAACACTATCAAACTATCGCCAGCTACTGCAGCATGAGTTCGACCCCTGGCTAGGGAGCTGACCTCTCCTATCTTGCCCGTTGCTCCCCTCAGCAGTGTATTTCAGTAGATCCGCCTGTTCTGCTCCCCACTCTGTCTCTGGTGAATCCTCTCACCTTGGCACCTCTGGCCTATACTCCAGTTCTTGTGTGTATAAATAAAATAAAATAAATCTTTAAAAAAGAGGCCTCCCTGGTGGCTTAAGGGGTTAAGACTCAGCACTGTGAAGCTTCAGCAGCTTCTACAGCATGAGTTTGATGCCCTGCCAGGGAGGTGACCCACATGGGTCGCAGCAGACCTTTCCTGTCTTGCCGGCTGCTCCCCTCAGCAGTGTATTTCAGTAGATCCACCTGTTCTTCTCCACCACTGTCTGTCCCTGGTGAATCCTCAGCCCCTGCATCTCTGGCCTACACCCCAGCTCTTGTATGCATAAATAAATAAACCTTTAAAAGAAAAAAAATTCCTTAACTCATTCCTGAGGAGTAATAAGAATGTGCCAAATGGTTTTGGGCAAGGAGAGCTTCCAGAAGGGCATAAGAAAGCATGCCTTCCACCCAGTGTGGCCAGTGTACAATCCAGGAGAAAGGGGGTAAATCTCTAAATGCTGATGGTTGTGACCTGACCCTATAAGCAATGGAAAGCTACTGATGAATTACAAAGAGAGCTAATAGGCTGTGTTCTGAAGGCTCCCTCATGCCTGTGGGTTGGCAGGTGAACCCTCAGAAAGATGAAGAAATTAAGGTCTGCTGCACCATGTAAGTCACCCATGTGGGTCACCTCCCTGGTCGGGGATCGAATTCGTGCTGCAGTGGCTGCTGATAGCTTGACAGTGCTGAGACTTTAACCCCTGTGCCACCAGGGAGGCCCTCTGCCTCCATTTTCTTACATGCAAAATGCATTACAACAGTGCTTATCTCAGGATTTTTGTGAAGATGAATTAAGTTCTTCTATATAAAATTGAGTTCTGGCACATAGGGTTATGTATTCAGTAAATAGTAACTATTAATATTATAGCTTGTGTAATAATAGCAACACATGCTGCATTCGCTAAGTGGATAGATTTTCTTATTGATGACAATAGCCAATATTTGTTTGCCTGCTCGCTAACCCCAAACCTTTCCCCCCAAAAGAAGTGTGATTTACCTTTCTTGATGTTGGTAGTTAAAATGGGTTGAGTTTCTCTAAGAAAAATTCTTGGTATCTCAGAGTAAGAGCCTGGGAAGTGAGTGAAACTTTATATTTTGTTTATGTTAATGTTATTTTGTAATGTCTGTTTTAAAGATAGAGAAGCAGAGGCGGATAGAACGGATAAAACAGAAGCGGGCCCAGCTGCAAGAACTTCTCCTGCAGGTAAAGATGCTGGGTGTGTTTCCTTACCTTCCCCACAGTGTCCTGCTTCTCCATTTACTTGCCTTTAGAGTTCTCTACTCTGGGTGCTTTTGAATAGCGCCTGGTGCGCCACACTGCACTGCAGCTCATTGCCATCCTCAGGGTCTGCCTTAACAGGGTCCCATCTCTCACCACTGTCAGGGCCCACGGTGGCTCACCTGCCCTGTGTGTGACTTACATTGTAGAGCAGTTTACTTTTGACACTTGCCCTTACATCTGAACAGAAATCGATAGGAGTCTTCCGTGTTTATTTAGCACTAATTTGTAATATCAAGAAAGCTTGGTAAAGTTTAGGTGCTTTGAGAAAGAAAATTAATAAATCCATGTGTAATACTTAGGATCTATAAATAACAGAATGACATTAAAGGATTCAGTAATCTTTGTTGAATACCAAAGCTTAAAATTGCTCTTCTGTTTAAGAAAATTAAAATTTACACTATCATAGTGACCTCTATATCCTTATATTTATTTATAGTTCTTTGGATAATTACCTAAAACTTGGATGATTTTTTTTTTAAATACAATAAAAGCATTGTATAAGTCCTGTGTCCTGTTTCTGCTTTTCACACTGAATCCCATGAGCCCACCCGAGGAGCTGCCATTGGAACAGGCATCATCTTGGGTTTCCAAATAAGGTTTTGTTTGAAGAGAGTGTTTTGCAGCCTTCAAAACTGACAGTTTGTTTCTCTGCTCTTCCCTCTAAAGTTCTGCCCTCCGATGGGCCCTCTGTTGTCCCTGCACAGTTCTTTGCTCTTTTTACCTAAACTCTGTGGTGGCCCTTTCCTTAGATTTCCTCAAAACCTTTATGGTACATTTTGATTTTTGGTATATGTTATAAAACCTGTGTAAAGTATGTATGTTTATGTTGTTTATCAGAAAGAACGGTGCTGAGCAAGATTGCCCTCATATTGTAGGATTTTTTTGCACCTAAATGACCAGCTTAAAGAATGATCATATTGTTTTAAGTCCTAGATTTCTTTTCTTCTACTGTCTTTATTTTAAGAGTTATTATTTTTTTATTAGAATTGGGGTGCCGGCCAGAGATGCAGGGGTGTGAGAGGATTCACCAGAGACAGAGTGGGAAGCAGAACAAGTGGATCTACTGAAAAACACTGCTGAGGGGAGCAGCGGGTGAGACAGGAGAGGTCTGCTGCACCATGTGGTAGCTCCTTGGCCAGGGATCAAACTCAGGCCATAGCGGTGATAGCCCTGAGACTTAACTCCTAGGCCACCAGGGAGGCCCCTACTGTCTTTAATGCTATTAAATGTATACATTATTGTTCACTGAATCATAAATATATAAGAACCCTCATTGTCTATTTTCTTCTCTATACTCAGACTTTCCCAAGGTACTCAGGGCACAAATCTAGACAAAGTATGAGAACATCTCCCAGGAAACTTTCTCTAATAGCAGGGAAGAGAAACAAGGCAGAAGTATTCAAACACTTCATACTTTTACTCAGTTTTACCATCTTAATGTATTTTCCCTCAACATTCAGTGAATTAAACAATGAGTATTAAATAGCCTTAATTCTTTAGCAGCAGAAAATAATGAAGTAAAACTTTGGTGTGTTTAGTAGTGTTGATAAGAATTGATATTGAGACTGAATTTTGGACACACTGTTAGGATTAGAATAATTTGTCCCTTCTGTTTGGGAGTTTTGAGAGTTCACTTATTGGCCTCCCTGGTGGCACAGGGGTTTAAGATAGCACTGTCAATCTATCTTTAGCCACTGAGGCCTGAGTTGGATTTCCCAGCCAGAGAGCAATCCACTTGGTGCAGCAGACCTCTCCTGCCTTGCCTGCTGCTACCCTCAGCAGTGTATTTCAGTAGATCTCCTGTTCTGCTCCCAACTCTCTGGTGAATCCTCTCACTCCCTGCACCTCTGTCTTACACCCCAGTTCTTGTATGCATAAATGAATAATTTTTTTTTTAAGATTTATTTATTCATACAAGCACTGGGTACAGTCAGAAGCGCAGGAGGGTGAGAGAATTCACCAGAGCCAGAGCGGGGAACAGAACAGGCAGAAGGACCGAAGTACACTGCTGAGGGGAGCAGCGGGCGCTGCAGGAGAGGTCTGCACGCCATGTGGGACCCTCGCTGGCGGCCGGGGATCAAACCGGCGCTGCAGAGGCTGCCAGCAGCTTCACAGCCCAGCGCTCAACCGCTGCGCCACAGAGGAGGCCCAATAAATAAATCTTTAAAAAAAAAAAAAAAGAGGGCCTCCCCGGTGGTGCAAGGGGTTAAGACGCAACCTATGAAACTAACCGCAGCCTCTGCAGCATGAGTTCGAACCCAGCCAGGGAGCTACCCACATGGCGCAGTAGACCTCTCCTGACTACCCTGCTGTTCCCCTCAGCAATGTATTTCAGTCAATCTTCCTGTTCTGTTCCCCACTCTGACTCTGGTGAATCCTCTCACCCCTAGCACCTCTGGCCTATACCCCCCGTTCTTGTATGCATAAATAAATAAATCTTTTAAAAGAGAGAGAGGGGCCTCCCTGGTGGCACAAGGGGTTAAACACCTCACTGTGAAGCAATCTGCAGCCTCTGCAGCACGAGTTCGATCCCTGGCCGGCCAGAGAGCAACCCACATGGCGAAGCAGACCCCCCCTGTCTTGCCCACTGCTCTTGTCAGCAGTGTATTTCAGTCAGTCTGCCTGTTCTGTTCCCCATTCTGTCTCTGGTGAATCCTCTCACCTCCCGCATCGCTGGCCTGTACCCCAGCTCTTGTATGCATAAATAAATAAATCTTTTTTTAAAAAAATAAAAAGAGAGAGAGAGTTCACTTATCAGGGAATTAGCGCCCAGCCATTTTAAGACAATAATGCTCTTATCAAATTTTACTTCAGACCCAAAACCTAAAATACACAGTCCTAGGATAAGATTGTTAAAGTGTAAGAAATAACTTAAGGTTATCACTACTGGGCGAGACCTTGGAACAAGCTGATAAGATGAAAAGCTTGAACTGTGCTAAGTATTTCAAGCAATAGAATTCCTTGATACATTTACCTTATTAAAAAAGGAATGAGGGCCACTTTTTTGACTTTTTTTTTTAAGATGTATTTATTCATACATACAAGAACCGGCGTACAGTCAGAAGCGCAGGAGGGTGAGAGGATTCACCAGAGCCAGAGTGGGGAGCAGAACAGGCAGACTGACGAAATACACTGCTGAGGGTGTTATAGGGCAGCCCTGATACAAAACGGGGTGCCTGACTGTGTGTCCTCACCCGTGCGCTTTAAAGGACTTATCAATGCTCTACTGCAGGCACACGAGATGAGTTAATAAAAGGTTTATTTACAAGGAAGGGCAAATGAGGAAATGTACAGCTCAGGGAGAAAAATGGGAGACAAAGTTTTAAATGTGTCCTACCTAATTTGCCGATCTGGAATCCCAAATGGCACTCTGAGAGCTGGCCGCAAGCCAGGAGCCGTGAAGCCAGGAGACAAGTGATAGCGAGCGACCCCAAGGCCCACATGTTTGTTTTTTTTATACCAACCCTGGCTGCTTAACTCCACCCTCAGGTCCCTGCCACCTTCCCTTTGGTGGTGACAGGATTTGTCTTTCCCAATGTCTTGATGGCTTTAGTCTGGAGTGGGAGTGGAGTCCACAAAGCCTGTATGGAATTAGTTCAGGACATCCTTTCCCCCTAACAAGGGGAGCAGTGGGCACGGCAGGAGAGGTCTGTCGCACTATGTGGGACACTTGCCGGCAGCCTGGGATTGAACCGGTGTTGCAGAGGCTGCTGCAGAGGCTGCGGGCAGCTTCGCAGCCCAGCGCTCAACCACTGCACCACCAGGGGAGGCCCTGCAGTTCCTTTTTTTTTTTTTTTTTTTTTAAGATTTATTTATTTATTTATACAAGAATCGGGGTACAGGCCAGATGCGTGGGAGGGTGAGAGGATTCACCAGAGACAGAGCAGGGAACAGAATAGGCAGACTGACTGAAATACACTGCTGAGGGGAGCAGCGGGAGAGACAGGAGAGGTCTGCCATGCCATGTGGGTTTCTCTCTGGTTGGCTGGGGATTGAACTCATGCTGCAGAGGCTATGGATTGCTTCATGGTGCGGTGCTTAACCCCTTGCGCCACCAAGGAGGCCCTCTATATGATTTCATTTGAAGAAAGCATTCCTTAGCCTTATAAAGGTTGCATATCCCTGCAGCATCTAATGAGTGTATTTAACCCTGAACTCTCTGAAGTCTAAGTAGATAAGGGAAAACATAAGATCCCTGGGTGTCACTCCCCCACTGCATTACTGTAAGAGGCTGTGCTGGGCCCTGGGCTCTCCTGCATTTGTTAGCTCCCATTTCCATGGATGACAGAAGCCCCAGGACCTATTATTTATGTTTGGATGATGTGAGGCACCATTTCAATGTGTATTTCTCCCTGGGAATATACTCATTGAGTTGATTCATTCTAATCTTTTTTCTTAGATATTTAATTTTAATTCATTCATAGGTGGAAGAACTCTAAACTCTCTTAATTTTAAACTATATATTTTAATGTATTTATCTTAACTCATTTGATTCTAACTCACGTATCCATATTGCATTTCCTTTCTTTTTGATAATATCCACAGCAAATCGCCTTCAAGAACTTGGTACAGAGAAATCGGCAAAATGAACAGCAAAACCAGGGCCCTCCAGCTTTGAATTCCACCATTCAGCTGCCATTTATAATCATCAATACAAGCAGAAAAACAGTCATAGATTGCAGCATCTCCAGTGACAAGTGAGTGGAGAAATAGGTGGAGTGCTGGCTTTCTGGTAACATATCCCCATTTTTTGCAAAATAGAGTGTGTTCCTGTCTGAACCCTCCATGGCTAACTTTCCTGGGGCCTGTGACGCACCTTCCCAGCATGGGTGCCATCTTCTGCTGGTGCCTGCTTTTCATTCACCCTCTGCAGCTCCCTGCCTGTGTCATATACATAGTGGTGCCTTGAACTAAGCCAGGACGTGCATGTATGTACATGTGAGGGGAAACTCTGGCAAGTAACTGCAGTAAGGTAGACAGATCACCAATGAGGGTCTGAACAAGGTAAGTTCACTGGTGATTCACTATTGTAGTTTATTATGGAAATATTTCATGGAGTAACGTGTGACATGAAAGCAATTATTCCTTTGTTTTTCTATGTCATCATTGAGTGTACGCCTGTTTATCAGTGAGTGAATAGACATGAACATGCTAGTTGTTCTCTGCTTTCTTTTTTCTTATTGATCTAATAACTGGAAGTTTGTACTTTTTGATACCTTTACCCATTCACATACTCCCAACCCCTACCTCTAGCAACCACTGATCTGTTCTCTGTATGGAAGTTTTGCTTTTTTTTCCCTAAGATTCCACATAACAGTGAGATCATACAGTATTTGTCTTTCTCTGACTTACTTTATTTAGCATATGTCCTCAACATGCATCTTGTTTTTACAAATGGTGTTTTCTCTTTTTATGATTAAATAATACTCCTCTGTGTGTACAGCCATTACTGCATAACTATATTTCGTACCAGACTTCCTATACAGATGGTGGTCCCAGAATTCCTGTTACTGGTGATGTCATAGCTATTGAAAAGTCATAGCATTTATTCTAGCGCCAGCTTCATATAGCGTATGTTCACCGCATTTCTAGAATGCATCTTAGAAAAGCTATTGTTTGGTTCATTGTGGGCCCTAAGTGTACAAAATCCACTGTCAATGTTACCTGCAGAGACTCTGTCAAATGGTTAATCTGAAAACAAAATTAAAAGTGATTAAGGTCTACAAAAGTGGAAAATCACTTCCCAGTCAGGCATGTAACATTCCACCACATGGTGATCTCAGACAGCAAGAATAAGAGGACAGGAGCTGTTAAAAGGTTTTGCTTCATTGACAGCAGTGAGGAGGACCTATATCAGACCTGCAGAATCTTTCAGTGTGCTGGAATGAAGACCAGACACAGTAGTCTATTCCTCTCACCACCATGATGATCATAACCATATCAAAATGTTTATTTGTGACTCTGAAAGAAAAGGCTGGACCCAACTACAAAGTTGAATTTTCTACTAGCGCTGTGATGTTTGCGTGATGAAATCGCCTAATTACACATTTCTCAAAATATCTCCCCATTGTTAAATGATGCATTTAGGAAATAGAGTGTGTGTATCCATACATGTATACCACATTTTCTTCATTCATCAGTCAGTGGATACTTAGGTTGTTTTCATTTCTAGAATATTGTAAATAATGCTGCAGGAACATAGGAGTTCACCTTCCTGTGTTTTTTCCACTCTTTGCTCTATCACTGGTGCTTCTACCACCTTTTGAGATGCAGACGCCTTTTTGAGATAATGCACTTCCTTCAGCTGTCTACCCAGAAGTGGGATTGCTGGGTTAGATGGTAGCTCTATTTTTCAGTCTTTCTTTTTTTTTTTTAGATTTATTTTTATTTATACAAGAACCGGGATACAGTCCAGATGTGCGGGAGGGTAAGAGGATTCGCCAGAGCAGGGAACAGAACAGGCAGACTGATGAAATACACTGCTGAGGGGAGCAGCAGGCAAGACAGGAGAGGTCTGCCGCGCCATGTGGGATCCTCACTGGCCGGCTGGCCGGGATCAAACCCGTGCTGCAGAGGCTGTGGACAGCTTCACAGTGCGGTGCTCAACTGCTTATGCCACCAGGGAGGCCCTATTTTCAGTCTTTCAAGGAACATTCATATGGTTTTCCGTAATTTCCATTCTCAAAAACATTTCTACATTTTAACTAAGATTGTTGGTAACATTCATCATAGCTAATGAAAAACAAGTTTTCAAAATACAGAATTAATTTGTGATTTATTCTACCCTTCATGAAAATGGTTTATATCAGACTATGACCAGTATTTTAAGCGAGTTAGGATGTAAGATGCAGAGTGAGGTAGACTAGTGTGGTTTATATTGGCCTGTTTGACTGCTCCAGAGCTGTTCTCTGAAGGACAAATGAGGATCATGCCAGGGCCTCCGCCACCTCCTAAGCCATCTTTTTTTTTTTTTTTTTTTTTTTTGTGGGACCCTCGATGGCGGCCGGGGAACGAACCGGAGCTGCAGAGGCTGCGGGCAGCCTCGCAGCCCAGCGCTCAACCGCTGCACCACCAGGGGAGGCCCTCCTAAGCCATCTTAAAAGCTTAAAACTGATAATACCTATAAAGGATCTGACTCAAGAAAAGCACTTTATAAATGCTAACTGCTATACAGGGTTCAGCCTGTGATTTATAGTCCATATTGGATGTTTTTGAAAGCTAGCAAGTGTTTAGTAAATGCCATCAGTCCCCTTGGCATATCCCACAGCTGCCCTAGGAAGACCAGAGCTCCTGTTCTCATGCCCTGGGCTTTTCCTTCTTCCACTCTGCTCTTTAAGTAGTGTTTCCACTGTCTTGCTCGAATACACAGATTCTGGGTCACTTCAGTAAGAAAGGACCAGGAAAGAAAAGAAAAGAAAAGAAAAACAATCACAGAGGTTTCAAAAGCATGTTATAGTTTAGACTCTAGACACAATTGGCAATAGTAGCGATCAGGATATGTGAAGTGGGAAGCTGCATTTTCCAGTCTTTCCTCTTGTTTTATAACCTCTCTGAGATCTCATTTCTTCCTCCATAAAAGTATTACTTTTATGGCACTGGGGTTAAGATGCAACCTATGAAGCTATCCGCAGCCACTGCAGCACGAGTTCAATCCCCGGTCAGGGAGCTACCCACATGGAGCAGCAGATCTCTCCTGACTCACCCACTGCTCCGCTCAGCAGTGTGTTTCAGTCAGTCTGCCTGTTCTGTTCCCCACTCTGTCTCTGGTGAATCCTCTTACCCCCCACACCTCTTGCCTGTACCCCAGTTCTTGTATGTATAAATAAATAAATCTTTTTTAAAAAAGTAAGAATTATAGTATTTAAATTGCTAGTTTATAAAAGTCAGATAAATTCATAAAGAATCCAGCCCTGTGGTTAGTAAATGGTAGATATTTTTTATTAATATCAGACTTGCAAATTCTTTGCAAAAACCTGTCTAAAAGAAATGTTCCCATATTCTCATAAAACTGAGATTTCCAGTTATTCTCTCTAGTGAATCTCTTGTTTTGTGGAACATTATTAAATGATCTCCAGTTAGTCATCTAAGTCTACAAAGAACAGGGAAACATGGAGCCCACTGGCCTAAGGGAATTAGGGGTTTGGTTGCCTGAGGCTGGGCTCCCATCTGTGGGTGGTTCCTGACTCACGCCCTTGCCCGGCCCTGCCCTGCCCTGAGTGGTAAGGGAAGACTCTGAGCTACTTGTACAAGCTTGTTATTCAAGGTCCTAAAGCCTTGTCTTTCAGTTATTTCCGTGATGCAATGTTTCCCCCTTACATAGCCAGGAGGCTTTCCCACAATGAGAATTAACTGTATAAGCTCATCTGCTTTTAATTTATCCCTAGAATCAATCATCCATGTGACAGGCAGTCCAGATTTTTTTTTTCCTTTTCTGAAAACTCTGTTAATGTCACTTGATTCAGATTCATATACGTCAGATTATTGAAATGTGGCATTTTGCTTTATACTGTAATTTTTGCCCTGATCTGGGATCTAGCATAAAAAAATTTATTCTCACAGAGGTCAGGTAAATCTGTACCCAAATTCCAGCTGGACTGGGACTCTGCATAGCCTAGAATCTGGAGTGAACTTATGTCCCATGTGCCTAGGGCCACTTACGAAGACAGATGACACAGTCCTGTGCCTGGTGCTGTAAAGGCAAAAGTAGGAGCCATGGGCTCTGACCCTAAGGAGACAAAAAATCTGTTGGAGAATTGGAGCAGACATAAAATATAAGAAAGGATCTAGTACAATAATCAAATCTCAAGTCATTGCTATTCATTAGCAGATTCTGAGCAATAACTCCCTTATTATACAAATAAAAGAGCTTCAATGGAGAAAAGAAGATTGTCAGAGGTTTTATTAAGAGCATGAAGAACATTCTTCTATCAGCAAGTGGTGCAGTTCATGGCCAGTGGGCCACTGCAAGCTGATACCCTTGCCTGCAAGGATGCCGTTGGGGGGCCTCCCTGGTATCACAAGGGTTAAGTCTCAGTACTATCACGCTACTGCCACTGCAGCCTGATTTCAATCCCTGCCAGGGAAGTAACCCACAAGGTTCGGCAGACCTCTCCTGTCTCGCCCGCTGCTCCCCTCAGCAGTGTATTTCAGTCAGTCTGCCTGTTCTGCTCCCCACTCTGTCTCTGGTGAATTCTCTCACTCTCACTCTGGCCTACACCCCAGTTCTTCTTTGCATAAATAAATAAAAATAAATCTTTAAAAAAAAAAAAGCCATCTAGCTCTAGCAGATGCTGATGGGCCCCACCAGACAAACAATCTACATGACCCCAGATTCAATCTGGAATTTGACTTCACCAATACCCATAATGCCATCCAGGGCTCTGTGAACAGTGCTGGTATGAGGAGGAGGAGCCCCAGTTTCACTGCAGCCCTGTGTACTACAGTCTTTGTAAAAACTGGTAGCGTTTCCCAGCCTTTCCTCATAGAAAGGCTCTAGCCTAGCACATTCTCCTAAGACCTCTAGCCTAGCACATTCTCCTAAGACCAGGGAATGCTTGGGCTTGTGGTGCCATATTTACTAGGTGTACCACCCTTAGAGCTCACAGCCACCTCCTCCAGAATCTGGCTCTCTCTACCTCTTCTCTGGAATGTTCGTGGGTGGTCCAGAGAAATGGCTCTTCTTTTTTGCTGGGAACTATTAATCCTTTTTCATGACAGGTTTGCCTAATTGACTTGCCTAAAAAACACAATGACTCTTCGTAAGTACCATTTGACATTGACTTTTCCTCAATAAAAGTCAATATTTACTGAATCCTTAAGGTTGTGAGTACTTCATGACAACACAAACTCACCATTGTCCCAGAACACTCATCTGTGCTCCACCCGTGGGACTGAAGCCCAGAAGCCAGAATATGAGTCAGAAGGCTCTTCTCTTCCTATATTTACTTTACCTTTCATCAAAAAGGTGCTCTGGGCATCCTGATTTGTTATTTTTCAAGAATATGTAGAAATTTACTTGAGGGCCTAAGGAATGAAATGTCTTCAAGGCAGTATCTGGGCATTGGTTAGTTTGTGAGAAATCTTCCATTTGTTACTTATCTTAGGTATGCTGTACTTGACCTTTGAGCCATGAAAATGAAGGAAGCATCCAGAATGTTTACTCAAACCTAATAAGACCACCTCATAGTAGGATGTTACATACTGAGCTGAAAAGACTTTCTTTATATACTATTCTTTTTTTTTTTTTTTAAGATTTATTGTTCATTTATTTATGCATACAAGCACTGGGGTGTAGGCCAGAGGTGTGGGGGGGTGAGGGTGAGAGGACTCACCCGAGTGGGGAGCAGAACAGGCAGATCTACTGAAATATACTGCTAAGGGGAGCGGCGGGAGAGACAGGAGAGATCTGCTGAGCCATATGTGGGTAAGTGCCCTGGCCTGGGCACTAGACCAGGAATCCTTGGGCTTGTGGTGCCATATTTACTAGGTGCACCACCCTTAGAGTTTAGCTGCTCACTGTCACCTCCTCCAGAATCTGGCTCTCTCTACCTCTTCTGCAATGCTACAATGGCTGCTGATAGATTGATAGTGCTGAGACTTAACCCTTTGCACCATCAGGGAGGCCTGTATATACTATTCTTTTTTGACAGAATTGTAGACAATTTTGAAAACTGTTGACTTTAGACCAAAATTTCTGTCTCCAGTTTGAAACAGCTTAACAAGGGGTAAATTTTATGAACTATTGTGTGTCATAGGAAAATTGTTTCTACTGTGACAGTAGGGTTCTGAGATCTAATTCCCCCTGGACACAGCAGAGTGACTCACTGCTTTCATTGGTAACAGTTTCTGTTACCAGAGCTGAATTTGGGCCCTCACTCTTTTATGTAATGTACAAAAGTACAAAACAATTCGGGCCTCCCCAATACCACCGAAAACCCTCACTACCTTTGTTTCTGTGCAGGTTTGAGTATCTTTTTAATTTTGACAACACCTTTGAGATCCATGATGACATAGAAGTTCTGAAGAGAATGGGAATGTCCTTTGGCCTGGAGTCTGGCAAATGCTCTTTAGAGGACCTGAGGCTGGCGAAGTCACTGGTGCCAAAGGCTTTGCAGGGTTATATCACAGGTATGTTAACTAAACATTCACAGGTTGTCCGGTTAAATGTCAAATCCTACCTGGTTAAGGTCTTTCTCACAGAAAATTTGTTGAAGTTGGCTGTCTGCCCACCCTGGACTCTGCCCTCCCTACTTCTCTAAATGTAACCACGTTCTTAAATTTTCCCTCATTCACTTGCTTTTCTGTTTGGGACTAACTTGGTGTTTTCAAGCCTTGTTCGTTTGTGATTTGTTTCAGTACTTCATTCCTTTTTTTTTATTGCCATTTTATGGAGATACCAAATTTTGTTTATCCATTCATCAGTTGGCAGATATTTGGATTGTTTCCATTTCTTGGTTATTATGAATCAAGCTGCTGTAATTAATTATTCTTGTACACGGTTTTGTGTAAACATAAGTCTTTAGTTCTGCTGGGTACATCCCTAGGAATGGGGCTGTGGATCATATGATAACTCTATTTAACATTTTAAGGACCTGCTAAACGACTTTAAAAAAAAAAAAAAAACGACTTTCTAAAGTGGTTCTGCCATTCTGCAGTCCTGCTGGCCTCATCCCTCTCAACACTGTTCTTTCCCATCTTTTTTGTTAAAACCTTATCTATCCTAGTGAATATGAAATGGTACCTCACTGTAGTTCTGATTTGCATTTTCCTAACGACATGATATTGAGTATCTTTTTTGGCCATTTGTATATTTCCTTTTTTTTAAATTTCATCTGTTTATTTAATAGGATGTTTGCTTGGAGTTTAAAAATAGACTGAACAGCTATGAATGGTGCAACTTCACTGGATTTTATAACAGTTTTATGGAGTGAACCATTATCAGTATTCCTAAACTGTAAATGAGGACTGAAGTGTGAATACACTAGGGGTCATATACAATAGGCAAACAAGTTTTCTTACTGTGTATAATCAATATATACATTTAAACAGACTGAATTCCTTATTAAGCAAACATTTTTGCACATGCCACCTCCTTTTTAGTTTTTTATGCCTTTATCTTTTGTTTGACTTTAAGCAATTCCACCTGGATAAACTTATGTTCTAGTGTTATCTCCAGAGTTTTCTTAAGGTCAGTCAGTGCATTTTCCTTTTCTTTTAATCCTTGCTATCCTTAAACTCGCTGGTACAATGCTTTGATATTTGATGGTTCTATTTCAAGAGCCTCCAAACAACTGTCTGTTGCTTCTGCCAATTTGACATCTTCAGTTTCCAAACATCAGTATTCAGTACACAGCTTAAAGCTACAAGCTGCAGCCTGGATCTCTGTTTTTTGTTTGTTTGTTTGTTTGTTTTGTTTTTTAAAGATTTATTTATTTATTCATTCATTTATTTACTTATTTATACATACATACATACATACAAGCACTGGGTACAGTCAGAAGCACGGAAGGGTGAGAGAATTCACCAGAGCCAGAGCGGGGAGCAGAGCAGGCAGACTGACGAAGCACACTGCTGAGGGGAGCAGCGGGCAGCAGAAGTCTTCGCGCCATGTGGGACCCTCCTCTGGTGGCCGGGGAGCAGCCGGGGATCAAACCGGCTCTGCATAGGCTGTGGGCAGCTTCGCAACCCAGCACTCAACCACTGCGCCACCGGGGAGGCCTTGGATCTCTGTTTTCTCACTAACAGCTTTTGAACCTTTCACCTATTTGTGGTTTTTTTTAATGGCCATCTCCCAGTTCTGGGATTTTCAAAAAGTATTTCCAATGTTTTTATTTATTTGGTTTTTTTTTTTTTTTTTTTTTTAAGATTGATTGATTGATTTATACGAGAACCAGGATGCAGGCCAGATGTGTAGGACAGTGAGAGAATTCACCAGGGACAGAGCAGGGAACAGAACAGGTAGACTGATGAAATACACTGCTGAGGGGAGCAGTGGGCAAGTCAGGAGAAGTCTGCTGCACCATGTGGGATCTCACCAGCCGGCCGGGATCGAACCGGCGCTGCAGAGACTGCGGACAGCTTCACAGTGCTGTGCTCAACCACCTGCGCCACCAGGGGAGGCCCATTCCAATGTTTTTTAAAGTCTTTTGCTTTTGTTAGATATTTTATCTCTATCTTTTAGACCTGTATGTGCATACTCAGAGAAATCTGGATGATTGTCACCAGAACTTTCTTTGGGGCATACTCCTCAGTCATCACCTTCATTTCAGTTTTCTGCATTCTGCATTAATACATAATTTGCAGGTTTTTACATATTATTTCTGTATTTTCTACTATTCCTGCCACACCTATTCCTTTAATTATTTGACCAAACACAGTGTTTCCCATATAAATGAGGACTTGGAACTGTGGGGAACCTTTTGTATTACCAGCCACATTTGCCATGCTCAACAAACCCTTCTCATCATGCTTATAGTAGAAATGTTCAGCTTCAAATTTTTCACCATCAGTACTTACTCCACTTGTCCCTTTCTGATTTGAAAAGCCTCCATCCTATGTCATAAATTTCTTAATAAGTTGATGGAAAGGGCATTTCTTGAAGTGGGGGGTTTCCCAGTGATGAGTCCAGTGCCTTTTCTCCAATACATAATGAATAAAAACTTTATGCCGTTTTGGGTGCAGTATCTTCAAACAGTTCTAAGACAGTTCAGCCAACTTGCTCCCCTCCAATGTCTAGGTGAAAGAAAACTTGGGGATTACTGGGGTTAGCGGGCTTAGTCTAGGGGGATGGTGATAACATTTGGACTTGGAAGCGGACTCGGGCACCTTGGCACCTGTATATGGGCGAGAGACAGGGGAGGTCTGCTGCGCTGTGTGGGTGGGGCTCGAACTCACTTGCTGGCAGATAGCTTGATAGTGCTGTGTCTTTAACCCCTGCACCACCAGGGAGGCCCATTTCACCCATTTTAAATTGGGTTGTCTTTTTATTATGAGTGATAAAGAGGATACGGAGTATACTTGAGAACAAAAACACTTCTCAGAAATCTTTATGGTTTTCCTAATTTCTGAAACTATTGTTTATTCTGCACATATAATGCTTTTGCTGGTCTGCTTATTTTATAAACACTTGCATCTAGAATTTCACAGCACTTTTCACAGGCATTTTAGTATTAGTTCTAAGCCCTGTTAAGTCAAATATAAGCAAAGAAGTCGTTTTTTATATTGTTACATGGTTTCGGCTCCTGGGTCACAACACAAGAGTCTGTCAGTTAAGGTTTGCTGGCTTCTGTTGGATTTATTTCTTAAGTTGACAGCATTTCCCTCCTACTAGCCTGACGACCTCTTCTTGCCCTTCAGCCACAGCCCCTTCACAGCCCCATTTCTGCTCTCCCCACCTCTCCCAGAGCAAGACCTCCTATTTTATTAGCAGCCTGTCATATTGACAGTCCAGCAGGGTGTGAATAAAATGGCCTTACTGAATAAATTACCAGAATTTTGTGAGTTTATGCTCACTGAAAAGGCTCAGGTGATTGGGCAGGCTCTGTGGTTTTGATCTTTGTGACCTGAGTTGCAGACGGCAGTATAGAGTTTCTGGTGGGTTCAGAAAAAGGAATGTGTTCCCTTAAGTGTACAAAGGGAACGGCTTTTGAGTTCGAGTGTGAGAACCACTTTGGAATCTGTGCACATGTAAGAGAAATGTAAGCTTTTCAGAGCCTTTGTAAAAAGGAAATTGAATGTGCTAGTTTCTCAAACAAGTAAGTAGCAATGTGCTTCTAATAGTGCAATCCCCACAGAAAGGGGAGTTTCCAGGTCCTGCCCCACCTAAGGAAGGGTGGAGCTGAGTGGTGAGAGGAAGCTGGAAAGAGATGAGACTAAGAGGAAGCATGTGTAGCAGAGACAAGTGAAGAAGCTGCACTTGCTTCGAGGCCTCAGATTTGTACCAGGAATTTGGGGGACATGGAAGGAGATGCTTCCAAGAGACAGAGACATGGGTGAGAGACCCTTGGGGAGGCTTACAATGGCAACCTTTGTCTTTTGCTCCTTTCCCTGCAGACTTCCCTGTCCTCTTCTGGCCCATTCCTGTGGGGCCCCCGCCAGAAGGTGCCTTAGACTTAGCGGCCCTGCTTTGAGCAAACCCTGTTTGGTTGGGCAAATCCATGAGGGGATGGGTAACTTTGGGTGCTTCATTGGAACACTTAACTATATTCTTTCTCTTCTCTCTATTGCACACTAGTTATATTAAAGTTCTTTTTTGATCTTGTACACCGAGAGTATGTTTTGTCTTTGTGTGTAGATGGTAGAACCTCTTTAGAGCATGCAAGGTTGAAGGTTCCGGGGAGCCCCTCAATCTCCTGCTAACATTCTCACAGGAAGTTTCAATATATACGAATTAATATTCAGGAAAGGATTCTGACTTTAATTTCATCTTGTACAGACTTGTTCTTAAAACAGTCTCTTGGAATTGCTGCCTTAGTTATCCTTGAAGAAAAGGGTTTTAAGGCCATTTTAAAGCTATTGTAGTCATTTAGTTTATATTTTTCTGGATGTGAAGCCTCTTCTATAATATACTGCCAAGATAGTAGATTCAGTCTCAAAAAGTGTCATTTCTTTGCACAATAATTGTAAAACTTTTTGATTAAATAGAGTAACAGCTCTATTATTATGAATCATTTTGGCAAATTCCACTTTCTAAGCATATATTCAGTCTGTAAGTGAAAGAAATTTTTTGTAGGAATTATTTCTAATCTACAATGGCTGCCACCTACTTTGTAAATTCACCGTTGAAAGAGACTATATATATTCATTCAGTAACATTTAGGGCTTAGATGTTCAGCAGATGCCAAGAAAAAGAATAAGTGTTTTGCGTTTGTTTGGTTTTTGGGGTTTTTTTTTTTGTTGTTGTTGTTGTTGTTTTTGCCTGTTTGTTTTAATTTTTAAAGGACAGGTCTGTTGGGCCTCCCCGGTGGCGCAGCGGTTGAACGCTGGGTTGCGAAGCTGCCCGCAGCCTCTGTGGCGCCGGTTCGATCCCCGGCTGCTCCCCAGCCCCCGGAGGAGGGTCCCACATGGCGCGCAGACCTCTCCTGCCACCCGCTGCTCCCCTCAGCAGTGTCTTTCGGTCCTTCTGCCTGCTCTGCTCCCCGCTCTGGCTCTGGTGAATTCTCTCACCCTCCCGTGCTTCTGACTGTACCCAGTGCATGTATAAACAAACAAACAAATAAATAAACAAAAAAAAAAAAAAAAAGGACAGGTCTGTTAGGAAAAGGAGAAGGGAAAAAGAGGTACCTGCATAGTCCACAGACTGACAGGCTAGTAGGCAAGCTGCATTTTGCCAGTGCAGAAATTATGCTGATATAAAGAGTTTTTCTTTTGGGGAGGGGTTCATTCCTTTGTGAAATTGTTATCTATTGTTAAATTAATCACTTTTAGGGTGGGACTAGGTTGATTTGTAAGGACTGGGGATTCTCTATAATAGCCCTCAATCTACATATCCCCATCTCTGGTCCACCCCATGGGTGTTTTTGCTGGCTGTCCTTTGTAATGACTGGCAGGTCGATATCCCCATTTCCAGGCTGAGCTTGAGAAATTTTCATCTCTATAGCTGGTTTAATGAGGATGTTAATCATTTCTACCCCCACCTCCAGTTTCTGGTTTTGTGACACCTCCATCCCAAATTTTCTACCCTTAACCTCCAGCAAATACCCCCTGACCATATCTGGCCCAAAGTCTTTTTGGGGAGCTGAAGGGGGGAAATAATAGATTTTTGATGAGGAACAGCACTGAGTTCACGAGGGAACATTTAAAAAGATGGTGCAGTGGGAGTTTGACAGAAGTATGTCTGTCATCCTTACCTAAGATATTTCTGATTTGCTCTTCTGAGCCAGGCTGCTCCCACTGCAGTCAGAGTCTTTTGTGGCAAGGACACAGTGTTGTCCATCCGTCACAGTACCCAGGAAGCTGCCCTCTCCAGGCCTTAGCTCTGAAAAAAAAAAAAAAGATTGTTTTATTTGAATTGTTTTCTCCTGTAGTCCGCCCTCCTGTATTTTTTCAGGCTCTTGGGTTCTAGAAATTTTTTCCTGAGCTGAGGAAAGCTGGGTTTTTCCAGCGCAGGAGACTGGTCCCGCTGTACTTCAGAACAGGCTTGGCCTGGTGACATCAGCACACACACACACAACTTGCTGCTCCTACATCTTCTGTTTTTGTTTGTTGCTGCAGATATCTCCACAGGACCATCTTGGTTAAATCAGGGGCTGCTTTTGAACTCCACACAATCAGTTTCAAATTTAGACCTGACCTCTGGTGCCACCTTGTCCCAGTCAAGGTATGTGTCTCTTCAGAGCTAGAAAGGCAAAGCAGGCGGCCTGAGCCTCTGGTGAGTTCTATTCCTGTTTTACAAAACTTTGAACATGTCATGTTAATGAGCCTGTGTGTTTTTAATTGTTTGCTAGCGTAAACCAAGGGCTGTGCTTGGATGCTGAAGTGGCCTTAGCAACCGGGCAGTTCCTTGCCCCAAACAGCCACCAGTCCAGCAGTGCGGCCTCTCACTGCTCCGAGTCCCGCGGCGAGACCCCCTGTTCCTTCAACGACGATGACGAGGAAGATGACGAGGAGGACTCCTCTTCCCCAGAATAAAGACAGGGAAACCCCATGTGTTAATATTTGATGCTCATGTGTGTTTTTAGTGTGAGCTCTTGTTTTTGAAATGATTGCTTCAGTCTTTGCCGTTGTTTGCACTGTGTGTTCAGTGAAAACTAGGGAAACACAAAAAGCAAATTGCAGGAAGGCTGAGATGAAAGTTACCATAGTGTGAACGAAAACTCTGACAACAGAGCTATAGATCATCTTGCAAACAAAGTGTGTTTTCTGAAGGGGTAGAGGGAACAGTCCCTGAAGAATTGGCAGCACAAATGAAGCTCATTTATCTTGGTGAGGTGGAGTCTTGTGGGGCCCATGCCCGTGTAGCCCTCCTTAGAATTGAGATGGCCACAGTGACCAGCCTTGATCATGTCTCATGTTCCTCTCCCTTGCCTGGGCTGCCAATGACAAGGCAGAAATGAACATGGAAAGTTCCCAGTGGGGGGAGGGGGGTTTGTACAGTGAGGGGTGTAGGCAGCAATCCCTGTGGCCTAAGGAACACAGATTGAACTGCTGAACTAGTTGAAAGTCTAGTTGAGGTGCTTAACGCATCAGCTGCCTTAGACAGCTTCTAGAAAGGAGCGAGCGCTAATTCTTAAATACTTAAGTGACGTTTAGAATAATTTATAGTAAAACAAATTATCATCATTAGCCAATGCATTGGTGCATAGGATTTTCTAGGGCTACTTCTGGAAGCCAAAATAGAATAGCATCTCCATGTGCATTACTTTGCCAGCACTGCCTTTTGCCAGCATTCTAAATCTGGAGTTTGTTACAGAGAAGGAAATTATATCTATAGCTTTAATCAAAGCTATGCATTTCATACAGCTTTTTCATTTAAAACAAAGAAATTTCTATCACTGAATTGCTTGCTTACAATTCCCTGCGGCAATTGTATTATTTTACCCAGTGTGCAATTTGTGTAAATGAACCAAATGTCATTACTTTTGTCTTAAAAGTCTATTCCAAGAACATGAACAGTGATGTTTTCCTGTCCATGTCACCTTTTGTACATTTTCATTGATCAAAGTGACTTTATTGGGTTTGTTCTTGGGTAAATTGCATTTCAAACTAACCTGATAGTGTTTCACAGAAATACCGAAAAACCTTGAACACTCCCAATGGTTGGATTCCTAGGTATACAGTATGTTATTTCATAGCCAAAGACACCACTAGAAATACTGCATGGTGTGTTCGCACTTACTGCTCCTCTGGATAGAGGGATGTGGAGACATCTGCCCCCTTGGCCAAATCCCGGCCTTAATGTCTCATTAAGACCTTGAAAAGGAACACAGAATAATGGAAAATTCACTCTAAATCTTTGACTTGCATCATTAGATTTGCCCCTAAATGATTCTGCATCTCACTGGTCCCAACCCAGTCTTTTCTGATCCCCTGGGGGAAGTGCAAGTGGCTTCTGACCTTTCAAAAGCCCTGCCACTGCTGGGCTTATGTGAGCTGGAGGTGAAAGATTTGACTAACCTAAAACTTGTATTAAGACCATAAAAACTCGTCCACAAGGACATACACCCTGAACTTCCTTTGAGAGAAAACTCATTCCATCAGAAGCAAGTCATCATGCAGACTCCAGTGTTCAGGGCCAGAGAGATGGCGGCAGTCTCGAGAATGCCAGCTGAGTTCTGGGCCACCACTCTTCGTCCGGGCAGGTGGGAGGAGTCTGAAACCGCAGGGGCCTCAGTGGGCCCCAGCGTGCAGCCCCTTCTGCCTGGAAAATTGTCAGTTGTCCGGTCAGGGGAGCCTGAGTTTCCTCCCACACTGCCCTTTAACAGGCTCCTCATTCACTAGCCCAGCCTTTATGGTCCCTGTGCTTGATGGGACCTAGCAGGGATCTGGAGAGGCCAAGGACCACATCCAGTTTGTTAGTCTTCAAGATATTGTACTACAGACCCCACATACATTTCAGTAGCCGAGACAGGCACATGCATAAGCTTTCCTCTGCCAACTAGCCAGGTCCTTGCAGGAGCTCTTGGGAACCTCTCCCTTCTCTGCTCTCTCTCGCTGCTGCTATAATGCTTTAAAATGAGAAAATAATGGGTTTTAAAAAACAACCACCAAAGACTTATCATTATTGGTGCCCCGTCCTTGGCCATCCCAGCCATTAGGGTGTGGTGTCTGCCGGAAGTGGCTTCCTTTCCTCAGTGATGTGCAGGGTTTCTCTTGAGGACTGATGGAGTCGCACTGTGGTCAACAGGACGTGTTGCCCGTATGAAGCCTTCCCTGAGCCGGCAACTGGGTCGAGCTGTTTAGAAAAATCCGTTTTGTTCATCTTCTGTGTATCTCTCCTGGATTAATTTATCTGCTTCTGAAGTTCAGTACTGAGTCCCAATTCCATATAGAGATCAAAGTAGGAAGAAAATGTTAGGAGATTGTAATTACAGTCGATGCCCAGGCTCCCTGTAGGACTAGCCCAAGGGGTGGCACACACACAGGCACGCTTCCTGGGGCGTGCTGCTCACTCTGCTCTATGGGGCGGTGACTGGCCTTGTTTCTCCCTTGAGAGTCAGTTTTGCTGTTACCTTTGCAAGTGCAAGTGCATAGTATCCTTCAGTCAATAAATTCTTGCTCTGTTTAGCACAGGTGAGAATGGCGCTAGGCTGCCCTCTTTGACTTTCTGTGGGAAGGGTAGCCCTGCTGGTATTTCCTTAGCAATGTTTCGGGCACCCAGACATCTACCTGGTCTTCCCTGCTTCCTTCCTCACTGCAAATCTGTCATCCACTTCATCTTCACGTCATGACAGGGGATGATATAAATTGTGCCTTAAGATTGTAAAGTAGCTTGGGGGGGGGCAGGAAAGAAGGTGCTAACAGTGATTCCTCACCCCTCCACGATGCCCATGTCCCTGCAGAGCATTACAAGTGATAAGCATGTGTTCTGTTTCCTCCAATTTGATTCTTTATGAAGTGGGAGCATAATGTAATTTCTTCCATTTTGCCAAGTTAAAATAACTTCTCTCCATAGCAAAATTTACACATGTAACCATTCTCTGCCATATCTGAAAAATAGTGCTGGCATCATCCCCTCTCGATCATTCAGAGATTTCACAAAGGAACGGGGCAGTTCAGCCGTGCAGGCAACTGTAACGTGGCTGTTTACTAAACCACCCGCTTTTTTGGCTATGTGGGTGGTAGAGACAGCGAAGCGGCTCCAAGTGTAGAGGTAATGCAGCCCTGGGACGCTCAGAACACAGCGGGTGGAGTGTCCATGAGAGAGGTTCAGGCAAGGCAGAGAAGTGCAGCTCTTTCTACCACAACCACACCCAGAGAGCTACCGCAACCACACTCAGAGAGAAACCTGTTGAGCTTAATCACTGCTTCTCCAGGGCCCTTGAAATACCTCTAGCTCCCTCCCCTCGGGCATTTCAAAGAAGTAAGAGGAGCTGTTCCTACCCCACAAGTAGAGGAGGTAGACCTTAAGACCGCAAAGGTAAAGATTTCGTCCTTCAGGAAGTATTTGACTACAGGACAGAAGACATTCAGATTGATCAGTGCCGTGGATAAGAGGTTGGACGCTGGCGGGGAGGCTGCTTTGGCTGGGATGGCCAGGGAAGACCTCGCCGAGAGTCCTGAATCAGACAATTGAAAGGCAGATGTCTCTGTGCAGCACATCCTGGAATGCCTCGGTTTTGTTCCATGTTTTGCTTGTAATGTTGACAAGGAAAACCCATCCCAGTCCATGCCGAATGAAACATGTTATTCAGGGTCTTGCCTTTTTTCTATGCGGGTTCACTGTGACAGTCACAGTTGCCAAGAACCTAATGAGAGGTTAGCGAGGACACACAGTGCCTTCCTCATCATGCTGCTCCATTCTTGAGATCACTACTAAATTCCAGGGACGACCCCCCGCCTCCAATTGTGGGCATATTTTAGAGTCTGTTAAGGAATATTTAAGACTTAAAACCAAATTTAGCTGGCAGAAGTATCCATAACCCAAGATTCTCACCCATGAGTTCCACCATTAGTTCCATTATCTTCCAGTTAAACCTACATGATAGAATAGTGATTCAGAACGGAGAATTTTCTAGTTTTACAAGTTGTCAGATACTTAAAGATCTATTTTGTGTATTAGCTACATTAAAGGTAATCTGCCTCTGGACTGGCTGGCCTGGAGCTATAGGACCATTCCCCCAAGTAGTTCCCCATTTAAATGCACCCAAAAACAATAGTTCCTAGCCCTGATGATCATGAACATGTATTTATTGGGGACCCACAGGGTAGGCCAGTGTCCTGCACAGCCATTTGGCCCACAGAAATGGGCCTCTGTGCCTCTAATACAGTCATGTGATGTCCCGTCAGTTGGTTTAACTTCCACTCAAGCCAAACGTTATTACTCAAAAAGAAAAGTGGTATTTGCTTAAGATTTTACCTTTAGAAAAAATTCAAGCTAACATGCCCACATAAATCACAACATTTCTGAGGACTCGGTCCTACATAACTACCTACTTCACATGAGCTATTGTGCGTGGCTAACCTTTGGGGTCTGATTTCCCACATACATCTGCATTCACTGTGAGGAAGAAAAAGTATGGGACACAAAACGTGGACCCTGCAGTTCTGCCTGGGAATCCCTGAAAAGGACAGGAAGTGATCTGGCAGCAGCTGAGACAGGAGAAAGTGTATTCACTTAGGTGAATTCAGGGCAGCTGTTCTCGCGGGCCCGGTAAAATCTCATCTCTCTTATAGAGCCTTTGCCTTTGCAAAAAGCCCAGTCAGATTCAGCACTACCTTGCCCCATTCTATTCCAGCAGGTTGGACTTTGGCCTCCCTCCCTGGAATTCTGTGTGGCTGAAATGTAGGGAGGGGCAAGACTCACCCTCTCTTCCCCTCCTCCCCAAGGGTCTCAGAAGCGGGGAGGACATCTTCGCTACACCTGTTTAGACATGAAAAATCTGAGAACTGCGTTGCCCAGTATCCCTCAGCCTGTGGCCGTCTGCACAACCCCAAATCCCTTCTTCTAGTAAGAGCCACATTGCATCCTGGAATCTGCCCTCTCCACAGTCTTCCA